GGATTTAGAACAGTTACATCAGCCCGGGCCAGATGGCTCAGTTGGTTGGGGTATCACCCTGTACACCGAAACGATTGCAGGTTCAATTCCCTGTCGGGGCACATGCCTAGGTTATGAGTGTGATTCCCAGCCAGGTCACATACTGGAAGCAACCAGTGATGTTTTTTTTCTCTCTATCTCTCTCAATCCCCACCCCTCCTCCCTTTTCCTCTCTCTCTAAAAGCAATAAATATATCCTTGGTTGAGGACTAATTAAATAAAACAAAGCAACTACAACATCATGTTAGCCACTAAATGCCTTTAACATAGATGTCTGTAGCTCTTACCACAGCAAACTGCTAGTGCAAGTGTTGCTGATAGTGGCTTGTGAGCCCTGTCCAGGCTCCTTGCCTGGCGCTCTTCCTTACAAATTAGTAACTCAACAAGTAGTAAAGAGTGTGAGGAGGTAAACTGGAATGCTTTTTCAAAAGATTAAGGGTGAAGATGTAGGAGAGAGTCCGACAGGTAAGTCAGGAGCTTATCTGTGGGTAATGGCTGTTGGTTTGGTTTCAGTCGCCAGTTTCAGTGGGTGAGTTAGGGTCTGCTCCTGGCTGCACTGCTAACCTATTGCTGCTCTGGACTGTAAGTACACTTACTTAATAAATTGTTGGGATGCTTCCAGTTTTTATTTTGCAGATAGCAGAAGAGGTGCCTAAGCCACATGTGGTTATGCAAATTTAAATGAATTAAAATTATATGAAACAAACTCAGTCCCTTGGTCGCAGTGTGGCTAGCAGCCACATGTGGAAGAGTGGACATACCAACATTGCCCTCACTGCAGAAAGCCCTGTGTGTGGTGCCTCGGCCCTCCCCCCATCAGCAGTTAACCTTTGCCAAATAATGTAATCAGAGGAAGTAACTCACACACTTACCTACTATTAAAACCTGAAAATGTTTTGGCATTATTTTTCCGTCCTTTCATTCACGGACTGACTCCCATCCAAGGTTCTGGGATGATGGACTAGACTTCTCACTCCTTCCCCAGAAGCAGCCCTCCTGTCTTGCATTACTCAGCCTCCTTCTGTCCTACTACTACCCTCTTCCTTCCTTCCTTCATGCTCACAAGCATGCCCATAGGCTACTAGCTCATTTCCCTCCTTCTCCTCAAGCTGTTTCTAGTAGATACACTCCACCTGCGGTTTCTCACCACTCACTCCTGGGCCCTTGCAGCCCAGAGGCCACTCCCCCTGTCCGACAGGCCAGGCAGTTGTTTTAGGTTCCCTGCTGCCTCCTGATTGCCAAACCCAGAGCGCCTCACCAGTCACCCTTTCCTCAGCACCGCAGACGTGTTTGATACCTACAGACTCCCCTCTTGCCACCATGTTTCTCTTTGGCTCTCCTCCACTCAGTCACTTGTTCAGTCAGCTCTGCCCGTCTTTGTAGGTCAGCGCAGTTCTGTCTTCCATCCATTTCCATTTCTCAACCATAACTGGCTCGAGCTATGACTCACATTCTGAGAGTTCCTCGTCTTACCATCTCTGTACTTGAAAAGGTCCAGTGCTTGTTGAACATCTCTGTTCACATTACTCCATCTTGGCCTGAATGGTATGACCCAGTTCATTGGGCATCGTCCCACAAACAGAAAGGCTGCAAGTTCGATTCCCAGTCAGAGCACGTGCCTGGGTTGTAGGCCAGGTCCCTGATTGAGAGACAACCAGTCGATGTTTCTCACATCAATGTTTCTCTCCCTCTTTCTCCCTTCCTTCATCCCTCTATAAAAATAAATAAAATTAAAAAAAATATATCCCGTTGCTCTCTCCACATTAAAACACCCACCTCCAGGTGTAAGTTCTCAGCTCCGGAATGTGTTTCCCCTCCAGATTTCCTTCAGTACGACAAGCCGCCCCACCCTGCCCCCGCCGCATCTCTTCACACTGCCCACACTGTGTCCTCTCTCACTCGTTCCACGCTGGTCATGTCTCTTTTGTCACTGGGATGGTTTTCCTCGCCAGTGCTCACTTCCCACGCCTGCCCCCTGTGGCAGGCCTGGTTCTGTCTTGAGCCTGGTGTGTCCTTCCAGTGCTTTTACTTCCACTGTCTCTTTTCTTCACTCATGTTGTTGCCAGATACAGTTCCTGAAGGCCATTTTTTAAAAGTACATACACGTGCACACATATATGCAAACATATGCATAATAATTACCAATTTAAATTTTGAATAAGCGATATATTCCCATGGTTCAAAAATCAAAAAATACCAAAAGGCATGTAGTAAAAAACTTGGCTCCTGCCCTGACCAGTGTGGGTCAGTGGGTTGGAGCCTTGTCCCACAAAGTGAAAGGTTGTGGGTTCAATTCCCAGTCAGGGCACATGCCTGGGTTTTGAGTTCTGTCCCTGACCAGGGTATGGATGAGAGACACCTGATCCATATTTCTTTCACACTGATGTTTCTCTCCCTCTCTCCCCTGCGCTCAAGAAATCCTGGCTCCTGCTTCTGCCCTTGATCCTCTCGAAGCGTATCCTGAAGGGCAGTCGTGGTTAGTTTTATACTTACTGTTTTAAGAAAATTTGTAACATACATACAAGCATATGTGTGTGTGTACATGTGTGAACTTTCCCTTCTGCTTGTCATGGTAGCATGAGAAGTATGCTGTTCTGCACTATTCTTCACTTAGTATTTGCTTCTAGAGAATAAATCTTATAGATCTTTCATAAAGATCTCACTTTTTATAGCTGTATAGAATTCTGTATGAAGGTACCATAATTCATTTAACCAGTCCCCTCTCGGTGGACATTTAACTCATTCCCCATCCTTTGTTATTCCTAACACTTTTGCAAGGAAGAATGCTTTCATAATTTATTTTGCTTATGCAAGTACGTCTACAGTTCAGTCGTGAGAGTCCATTCTTTGCTACTGACCGTTCACTGACCGCCCACAGTGCCTGCGGCCAGTGCTGTGCTTCTCGTGCCCGAGTCACAGACAGTTTAGCCCAGTCCCAGGCCCCAGTCCTAAGGCCTTCAAGGACTCCCCACTGCAGTGACCCATTTCTGCCCCATCAGTGTTGGAGGAGAAGCAGGCAGCTCAATGGACAGCAGCAAACAGTGGGAGCATGTGGCCCTGCCTCCTGTTGGCCTCTGCAGTCTAGCCACATGGGTTGCCTTGCCGCACCCCTGTCACACCCAGGCAATTTCTTTCTCCCTTCCTTGGCACAGAGTGCCTTCCCTCTGCCCCATCCTGGCCTGTCCAGATCCACTGCATCCCCTAGAGACTGAGCTCACACACGGCCACGTCCGTGAACTCCCTTGAGTCCTGCTCCTTCCTGCTAAAAACAGTCCCACTTTCCTCTGTGCTCTGTCACAGGGCATGTGCTTTCCCACCCGGGGCGTGCTGCAGCATCTGCACAGTCCTCCCAGCTTAGCTGCGAGTCAGTGACGCCTTGAGCACGGGATGCTGCCTTGCTTTGATTTCTTGTTTGTTTCTATTTTTCCTTATCACTACAGACCAATTTCCTTTATTTCTCTTCATCAAAATTTATTTTTTCCCAAAGGCAGAAAGAGTCTTATCTCTGACTGGGAAATTCCTAGCCTGGGGATGGACCCTTACTCAAAGGTTTCCCTGGTTCAACCCGAAATACTAGAAAGTGCCATCAAAGCCACACAAACCCCTGTCGGTGCTTCTCTGTGGTGTCCTGACAGTTAGTCAGCTGCCCACATGTGGAGCAGGCCTGTTAGCTTATTTTTTATTATTTTTTACTTAATTTTCTCTTTATTTTTTAGTTCCACCCCATGCCCCCTCCCCTTTGGCAACCAACAGCTTGTTCTGTCTCTGGGTGTTTCTTTCTTTTTTTTGTTTTTAGATTACACACTTAAGAGGATCATACAGTATTTATCTTTTCTCTGTTTAGCATATTTCACTTGGTAACTATTCTCTAGGTCCATCTACCTTGTCACAAATGGCAAGGTGTCATTACTTTTTGCTGCTGAGAGATATTCCTGTTTGTGTGACATACAGCACACCTTCTTTATCTGCTCTCCTCATGATGAACATCTGCATGGCATCCATGTGCTGGCTGTTACGAGTAGTGCAGTGAACAGAAGGGTACATACATCTTTTCCAATTAGTGTTTCTGTTCTCATCGGATAAATGCCCAGAAGTGGAATTACTGAATCATGAGGCAGGTCTCTCTTTAACTTTTCCAGGGCTCTCCGGACTTTTCCATCCGTGGCTGCACTAACTTACAGTCCCACTAACAGTGTGCAAGGACTCCCTTGCTGTGACTTGTCCTAAGGTTTCAAAATTTGAAAAACAAAAGTGCTTTATTTATTGGGTTTCCCTTAATAAATAAATACTGAACATACGGTACAAAAAATAGAGGAAAAACATTTTTAGCTCACAGGAGACTTTAAAGTATTTTTCACACAATAGATTACAATTACTGTGATTGTTCATTCCCCGGGCCTCCTAGCACGGTGCCTTGCATGTGCTGAGGAATGAAAGGGCTGTGTTGATTTTGTTGTTGGTGTAACATGAGGGTTCGGGGAGTCCTTGCTTTCAATGCGGAAATCACCCCATACCCCGTGCATTCTGGCTTGTTGTTAAATTAAAAATGCCTTCTTCCCCACCCTAGGAACGTTTTTTAGAAGGCTAGAGCCATGAAGTCTGCATTCTTAGCGACCACTGTGTGGCCTCCTGGGAAATGAGGGTGCCGTTCTTGGCCGTGTTGGTGCTGTCACCAGCTAAAAGCATTAGCAGCCCCTAACATGTGATTAGAAGCAAGTGTCCATCTTTATTATGAAAATAAAATTGGTCTCTGAAACTTTTATTTTACTTTAAAAGGCTGAATAAAGGTTAGTAGAATCTTCTCTCACCAGTGCAGTTTTGACTGAAACATCTTTAGAGGGTACAGCAGGGAACCACATGCCTTTGAGAGCCCGGTGGGTCCAGGGTGCTCTGCGTCTGACTGCGTGTCCCTGAGCTGTGGCCACCCGTGTGCTGATGCTTTCCCCTTTCTGTGCTGTTAGGTTTTTGACGAACCTTCCATCAGCCTTTTTGCTCTGGAGCATTGTGAAGGGAGAGAGTTACATCTCGAGGAGGCCGTGAACTCTGTTCTGAACAAGGACCTGCACTTCTACACCCAGTCCGTGTGGGTGAAGAGTGGACTGTAAGTACGGGAGAAGGCCTTGGCCTGGTCCAGCCACAGCTTTACCATGGAGCTGCAAAGATGCTTTTTGTTCCCTCGCTGCTGTGGGGTTTTTTCTCTCTCAACGTAATAGTAGATTCTGCGTAAATAAGAGAAGACCGTGGGCCGTGTCTTCGGGGGGAAGAGCCCTTGGGAGAGAAAGGCTGCCGTGTGTGCGGAGCATGTGTCATGGAGCGGGACGATCGGACGGCCCTAACCTTCGGAGCCCACTGCCCACTCTGAAGAAACCTAGTTAAATCGGCAACTTGGGTTGAGATCATTGGCCGCAAATGGTTACAAAGTGACTATTTGTGAGACTCATAGTGTTTCGCCATATTTTGATTTGGTGTCTTGGTTGTTAGAGAGCTGTTTGCCCAGGGTACTTACTTCCAGGCTGTGAGGCCTGCCCTCCTGCCTCGCTGTTCCTCCCAGCCTGGTAGTGGGGAAGGCTGGAGGGGTGGGGACTGCGGGGTGGGGGCGGGTCCAGGTTCAGGTTGGCTGGGGCCTGCACTTTTACAGTCTGGGGAGACTACTTTAAGAAATGAGAAAATGAAAGATACATAAATCAGGTGTGAACTTTGCATATTTATTTAGAACAAAATGGGAAGAGGCCTTGCAAATGAAGGGCCAAGAAGCTGAAGCTCAGTTTGCTTCCTGGGAGATCTGCCTCTGGGGCTGCTCTGAGGACGGGCGGGCGGCTCAGCCCGCCCCTTGCCCTGCCCTGCTGGGGCTTTGGAACCGAGAGTCTACTAAAACACCACACACAGCCTCCATGATTAATATAAAGAGGACTGTTTTTTAATTCTAGTGACTTTTAAACTGTGTAACAATCAACTCTGCATGTTTAAGTATCTGGGGATAATGAAAGAGGAAGCCAAGAATATAAATTGATTTGAAAATTAAGTCAACCGTTATAATAAATGGCTTTCGTATTATTCACATGTAATGGTTTACATTTTTTTCTTCAAAGCACTTCACATGGTTTGATGTTTATTAAACATAAATCAATTTACTGTCTAAGAATAATAATCCTTGTATTATAGTCCAGGATATTATTTAACACTGTGTTTGAACTGAATTCCATATCCCTGGATTTCTATACATTTTACAGCATTTTTTTCTTTTCTAACTTTATTTTAATCGTGTTCAAGTAGTTTTCTGTCTTTTACTCCCATCCCAGCCCACCCACCCCTCCCTCCCCACCTCCCTCCCATTTCCACACCCCCTAGTTTTTGTCCATGTGTCCTTTATTTTGTTCCTGTAAACCCTTCCCATTCTCCCCTGAAATTCCCCTGAAATTTCCTTCCCTCCCACAGCATTTTTGTTTTTCTTTACATTCCTAACACTGGCATTTATTGACTCATCTCTGAAAACTGCACCATCTCATTTCACTCTTTTGTAGAAAACTGGTGTCATTTCACCTTGATGTTACTTTTCTTTTATTCTCCACTGAGGCTCACTGTTCAGCTTCTCTGTGAGGGGGTGCTGCACAGAGTGAGGAGTACTGAGGGCTGTCTGCAGGGCGTCCTGGCCACACGTGCGTGTAGAACACTGCCTGACGCACAGCCAGCTGGCTGCCCACAGCGACAAGCCTGGTTTAACTTTGCTTAATCCCCTTCTCATTCTGCATTTGTGATCTGTGATGAGAATGGGGGCTGTGCTTAGTGCACCTTCCCTCACAGCTTTTCAGCTGTGCAGTTCACTTAGATGAATATATAATCAAGTACAGTTTATTAAAATCTTGCCTAGGTTTTGTAATGGAAACTTCCCTGCCTCTTTAAAGAATCTGCTACGCTGGCACGGCAGTTAAGCCTCTTGGTGGTCACACTGCTCCTCCATCCACAGTGCTGCCAAGCTTGCCCTCAGTGCTGTCTGAAGTGACCTCGAGTCCTGATGAGAATTTTGGATCCTCTTGGCCATTACCACGTATTCCCCTTAGCTGTCCAGCATACTAGCCACCTAAAACAGGGGTTGGTGAACTTCTGCCACGGTCCAGATGGTCGTTTCAGTTTGTGGGTCATTTCTGCCACAAATACCCAACTTGTGGTTGTTGTGGAAAAGCAGGCAGTGTTAGTCATGCCCATGGAAGAATGGGCATGACTGTGTTCCACAGACTGTCCTGAGACCCCGGACACCCACCTGGAGCCCTGTGTTCATTCACACACTTGACCGTGGCCTGGGTTGAAGCCCCCCGGAGCACTGAGGATTCGCATAGCAGCCAGTCCTTGGAGTGCAGGCAGGGTGGGATTTCTGGGGCTGAGTGTGAGTCGTCTGTGGCGGCCTCGGAGAAGCCTCGGAGCCCCGAGGGCGAGCCCACGAGTGGAACAGTAAACCGTGTTTTTCACTGGGGAACAGGGAGGGGTCTACCGCTGAAAGTGGAAATGTTATGGAAAATGACAGGATTACCAAAGGAACACAGTTTTAGAGCTAGAGGGAATCTTGGTTTGAACGTAAAGACACCAGAATCTTAACTGGAGTCCAAATCTCTGAGCTTCAGTCCAATGGGCTTTTTCCTAGTCATTCCTGCTCTTTCTGTTAAAAAGCAAAACTACATACTTTTTTCTTTAAAATACCTACAAAGGTAGATGTTAAAAAATGAACCCTGCACGGTATAATATGGGGATTGCCTTTTGTTTTGAGGCACCTCACGTTTTTCTTTCCTGCTCTCATGTAGGTGGATAGCTTATGAAGGATCCAATTTCTTGGGAAGACAAATCCTGCTCGAACCTAATGAGATCCCGAATTGGACAGCTTTTAGTGGATGGAAAACAATTGGTTCCCTCCGTCCTATGAAGCAGGTAAGGAGAAAAGAACTGTACCATCCAAAATAACTGTTTTCTAATACAAATGCCATAAATCCCAGCATCTGAAACAATGACCATTTCATTTAGGTTGCTGTTTATGTAGCAAGAGGAGTGGATGAGAATGGGAAATACTGTGGATTTTAAACAATTCATAAAATTGTATCTAAGGTCAATGTTGGATTTTAGCTCTTAGTCCAAAGGCTTGGTGACCGTGTTCACTTTTCATGGAGAACGAAGGTATTAGAAGCTCTGTGGCAAGCAGCAGGAACAAGAATGAACTCTGAGACTGCACTGGTTTCACTTTCTAAGGACTTGGATTTTTTTCCTCCTACTTATACAATACTCAGCATGGATCCTGGCGATTTCATTAAAATCACATTTACGGCACAACTACTGCTTGTCTCCTGTGCCAGAGCTTCCCACTGCACTTAGGACACGGTCTGAACACTTCAGCGTGGCCGTGTGATCTGCTCCCCCTGCTTCCTCAGTCTCGTCTCCGGAGGTGCTCCTCCCTCAGGTGGTGTGTCAGGAGCACCAGCATACTGAGCACCCCCCACTCGGGCTCCCCACGTGGGCTCTGCCTCTGTCTAGAAGGCCCTTCCCTCTTTCTTTGCCTGGCTACTTCTTCCTCCTCTAAATTCATCTTACGTGTCAGGTCTTCAAGGACGCCTCTTTCACCCTCTCCCCCCACCTAAGTAAGATCCTGAAAGACCTGGTTCTTTGTCTGCAAGACACTGCACGTCGTTTGTAACCATATGGTATGGCCTAACTGGGTGCTCTCCCACTCGGTTACAGGCCCCGTGAAGGCAGGGGCTGTGCGTGTTCTGCTCACTCCCCGACCCCCCAGTGCTGGCCACAGCGTAGGAGCACAGGGACTATTTACTTAATGAAGGGATGAAAGTAAAAATGATGAATGAATATCTGACATTATGCAAAGAATTATGGAGGTTTACAGATAGAAATGATTTGGAGGCTGTAAAATATCCAACTCAAAACAGTAACCTAAAATGAAAAACAATGTGTGATCATCAGAAAGCCACAGGGAGTGCACCTGGTTCGGAACAGGGAAGGACGACCATGCATGGGAGAGGTGGGAGGTTTGGGGGAGGGGACCCAGGCTAGGCTGTGCGAGGGTCAGCGGATATGCCCTTTGTATTTTCTCTAACCCCTTTAGAAACTTTTTCTTTTTTTTTTTTTGTTTGTTTGTTTTTTTTTTTTTTTATTTTTTTTTAAATTTATTGATTATGCTATTACATTTGTCCCATTTCCCCTTCCCTCCCCTCCACCCTGTACCCCCTCTCCCACCCACGTTCCTCCCCTTTAGTTCATGTCCATGTGCCATTCTTATGAGTTCCTTAGCTTCTACCTTTCCCGTACTATTCTTGCCCTCTCCCTATCTATTTTCAACCTACATTCTATGCTACTTATTCTCTATACCTTTTCCCCCCCCTCCCCCTCCTCCCACCCCCCTTTTACTAGCCCTCCATGTGCCCTCCATTTCTGTGGTTCTGTTCCTGTTCTAGTTGTTTACTTAGTTTCTTTTGGTTTTGCTTTAGGTGTGGTTGTTAATAATTGTGAGTTTGCTGTCCTTTTACTATACATGTCTTTTCTTTATCTTCTTTTCTTAGATAAGTCCCTTTAGCATTTCATAAAATAAGGGCTTGGTGATGATGAACTCCTTTAACTTGACCTTATCTGAAAAGCACTTTATCTTCCCTTCCATTCTAAATGAGAGCTTTGCTGGATAGAGCAATCTGGGATGTAGGTCCTTGTCTTTCATGACTTGGAATATTTCTTTCCAGCCCCTTCTTGCCTGTAAGGTCTCTTTGGAGAAATCAGCTGACAGTCTGATGGGAACTCCTTTGTAGGTTACTGTCCCTTTATCTTTTGCTGCTTCTAGGATTCTCTCCTTGGTTTTTACCTTGGCAAATGTAATTATGATGTGCCTTGATGTGTTTCTTCTTGGGTCCAACTTCTTTGGGGCTCTCTGAGCTTCTTGGATTTCTTGGAAGACTGTTTCCTTTGCCAGATTGGGGAAGTTCTCCTTTATTATTTGTTCAAATAACTTTTCCACTTGTTGCTCCTCCCCTTCTGGTACCCCTATAATTCAAATGTTGGAACGTTTAAAGGTGTCCTGGATGCTCCCAAGGGTCTCCTCAATTTTTTTAATTCTTATTTCATCATGCTTTCCTGCTTGGTTGATTCTATCTGCCTTCTGGTCCACTGTATTGTTTTGAGACTCAGATTCCTTCCTTTCTCTATTGGCTCTCCTCCACGTATCTTCCTGCATCTCTTTTATGGTAACCTGCATCCTTTTATCTAAATTGCGCCCAAAATCAACCAATTCCGTGAGCTTTCTAATCATCAGCGTTTTGAACTGTGCATCTGATAGATTGGCTATTTCTTGGTCGCTCAAAAGGATGAGTCCTGGGGGACTGATCTGCTCTGTTGCACCCATGTCTTACGTCTTTCCCTGTCTCTCTTTTTTTTGGTCTGGTCGCTCTTGTTAAGGTGGGGGGCGGAGCCTTAGGTGTTCACTGGGGCTGGGCGCCCCAGTTGCTAGATTGTGACGTTATATGTGGGGGCGGGGGAGGGGGCGGGAGCGGGGGACAGAAGGGAATCAATGGCGGCAGATCCGTTCTCCTGGGCCCAGACCCTTCCCCGGGCTCCTGGGCTGCAAGCTCTGCCCTGGTCCACAATCGCTGCCCCACTGGGTCCGGCAGCCGCAGCTTGCGTACTCAGGGTCCACTGCTGCGTTCTTGCGCCCCGATGGCTATCGCGCCGATTTCGTGCCAAATTTTCCCCGACCTCCGCGCGCCGCTGACCCGCGCCAGCCCCGCGCCCGCTCGGCTGGTCGTCTCCTACCAGTCTGGATGTACAGGTCTACTTCAACTTCTTGGCTGTCCGACTTCCATTCAAATGAATCCCGTCGGTTCTGGGTGTTATGCTGACCGTATTTTATTGTTTTTCTAATCTTGGTTGTGCGAGGAGGTACGGGTGCGTCCACCTATTCCTCCATCTTGCCGGAAGTCCTAGAAACTTTTTCTTACTTGATCCCAACAACAGTTTTTTAAGGCTGGAGTTGTTATTCCCCTTTTCTAGACAGAAAAATAAGGCTTGAGAGGTAAAGCAAGTTGGCAAAAGTCATCCAAGTGTCAGAACCAGGATTGGAGCCTGAATTGATTGTGCTCTAAAACCTATGTTCTTAGGCTCTGTCTTCCTCCAACATAAGGCCTGTTTTTACGGAGTGCCGCCGTGTAGTTCCGGCACTGTGCTCAGCGCTGCATGGTTGACAGAAGTGATGAGGCTCCTGTGTTCAGATATGACACACTAAGTGTTAAGTTGGTGATAGCCAATAAAAATTAACCTGATTGGTCTTGCTGCACCTCCACCTGCTCCCCCCTCTCACACACACACACACACACACACACACACACGCGCGCGCACACAAATGTTCATTCCCACCGCTCTGGTTCTGTTGGTTCATATCCCAGCTGTGCCACTTGTAAGTGGTGTGGTTTTGAGTGAGTTATGTCACCTCATTTCTTGGCGCTTCAGATTCCTCCCTGGTGAAACAGTGACTGCATTGCTTGTGCGGATTAAATAAGACAATATACGCAAAGAGCTTGACACAACATCTGGCCCATATTACTAGCGTAACACATTTATTTTGAAAGTATTATTTACAGTGTCCCTGCAGAGAGTCAGAGATGCTCTCCTGAGAGATAGTAGACATCAGTGGACTTTCCTGGCAAAGAGCGTGTGGTGCAGGATTTCATGACCTTCACATCTTGCTTGTTCCTTACTCCTGGCACAAGGCATGATGGGTGATCCCATTGAAAAGCCATGGGAAAAAGCAAGACAGAAGTGGGAGTTCCACGTAGCTTTTACCAACCACACAATAATGTTTAACTTTATGTTGTACAAAACTTGAGAATATTTCCCTCACTTTTGAAAGGTGGTTCCTTGCTAGAGAAGGATGTCCCTGCCCATTGTTCAGGGTCCTGAGATTAAAAGATAGGTAGAGTAGCCATGGCTGGTGTGGCTCAGCTGGTTGAAGCACCGTCCTGTACACCAAAAGGTCATGGGTTCAATTCCCTGTCCCCAATTCCCAGTCGGGGAATCTAGGAGAGGCAACCAGTTGATGTTTCTCTCTCTCAGTGTGTCTGTCTGTCTCTCTCCCTCTTCCCCTCCCTCTTTCTAAAAGCAATGAAAAAATGTCCCTGGTGAGGATTAAAAAAAAGATAGCTAGAACAATAGCCTCTAATTTACATAGATATTTGTTGACAATTGTGTGCATTTATTATTCTTGTAGTGTGCTTTAGGAATTACCTGATTCCTATTCTGGTTAAAATTTTGATTTTGAAATAGTATTTTAACTATTTAACTGTTGTTCATTTAGGCCACAGCTTTGAAAGCCAGCAAAGGAATTCTGGGTTTCTAAAACAGTGTTATAGGTCATAATTGTCTTTTTTAGTAAGGCTGTTGGTCCTGCTTTAGTTCATATTCTTGTCTAGAAATTTAGGGATAATTAAAACGTGATTCTCTTTGAGGTTGGGAATTGGGAAGTCACTAAGGCAATTATAATGCATATCAGCACTTTAAAGTATACTCACAGAGGAGTCAGACTACAAGTGTGTAATAAGGGTTAACTAGTGCCTTGCTGGAGTTAACGGTTAAAACTGATGTGTGTTCCTAACATAGTGGGAATGTGTCCTCTCTGAAGGTCGTGCCTGTTGTCACACACATGCAAGGTAAGGAAACCGCAATAAAGATACACTGAAGCCCACCCTGGCAGGTGTGGCTCGGTTGGAGCGTCCTCCCGTGAACTGAAAGGTTGCAGGTTCAGTTCCTGGTTAGGACACCTGCCTGGGTCGTGGGCTCTCTCCCTGGTTTGGGTGTGTGAGGTCCTCAGTCCATACAGAAGGCAGCCAATCAGTGCTTCTCTCACCTTGATGTTTCTCTTTCTCCCTTCCCCTCTCTGGAACCAGTGAAAAAATGTTCTCGTGTGAGGAACGAGTGAGTGAATGAATGAATGTTTTCTAAAAGATATACTGAAGCCTCAAGAATTAATAATTGCAGTGGGAGACTAGACTGGATTGTAGAAATTTAAATACATTACTGTTGTGTGATGAATGTGGAAGTTGTGGTTTGAAACAATTAAAACATTTTGCTTTAGGCTGGATTGGGAGTAAAAGGGAGAAAACTGTATTTGAACAATGATTAAAATAAAATTTAAAAAAACAATAATAAAGTAGAACAATTATAACAATATACCATAATAAAAGTTACATGAATATGGTCAAAAAAAAAAAAACATTTTGCTTTAAATGACCAGATAACAGTTTGTCCATTTGCTTTAAGTGTTCAGTGTGTTTATTTCCTTAGGAAGGCTAAGCATGGTAGCAGTTGACCAAACTTCAAGTGTCCTCATGTTGTTCTGTCATAAATTTCAAAGTAGAACAGTCTTTGTTGGTCTTACCATGAAAACTTGCTGCATTTACCTAGAACTTACATCTCTCAGAATGAAAGTCCTCCCTTATTTAACAGACCATTCATTATTGTTTAGCAAGGTTCTAACTGAGATTCCAACACCTGACCCAAGGTGGGGGTGGTGTCCCGAATCTTACCGCATGAAGACTGGAGGCCAAGCCACGGGACGGAAAGAGCATTTGTGTAGCATTTCAGTCCCATGCTGTCCTCCACCATCCCACCGTCTGGCACGTTGGGAACTGGTCCCAGTGCACCCTGCCCATAAGAGCAGTGAGCACTGTTTGGCGCAGGTTTTACTAGAGAAAGTATCCTGGTTGTGTGAGGGAAGGTTTGGGTGCGTACAGACCTTGCTTCTCCACATCCGTGATACCCTTATTTATAAAATTCGGGTCATAACTGTACTTTCTTAAAGGGTTGTTCTGGTTATAAGTTCTGGCAGATAGTACAGGAGCCCAGAAAGCATTTAGTCCACTGACACATACTAAGCTTCTCATATTAGCTATTATCCTTACAGACAAGTCCTATATTTAATATTTTACTTTAAAAATTTCCAGGTTCTGGGGATGAAGTCCTTTGCTACCCAATTTTGAATAAGTAGTGAGTAACCATTCAAGGTCTCTTTCTTTGCAGAAGTGTAGAGGGCAACAAAGTGTGCATGTAAACACGGAGATTACCACAGCTCCTAGGGGCCTGGATCCCTGGGTCTGTGAAGACCTCCTACAGCAGCTGTTCAGCACTTGGTCCTGGCTAAGGACAGTATGTCTGATGGTTGTGCTGAGTCACTGTCAGACCCTCGTAGGCGGCCCCTGGCCATGATTCCTGCACCCCTGCCTCCCCAGGCTCAGACAGGGTACAGTGGTTATGGAATTAAACTTGCCAAATCCCTGATTCTTCACCACCCTGGAATTCTAGTGAATGAAAGGTATTACCTTTAATCTTCCAAAGGACATGTCGTTCTCTGAAAAGTGTAAGATTGTTCAGTTTGAACTTTGTGCTCTGTGGTCTAAGGATTTTGTTAATAGAAAATAATAATTTATAAATATTTGCTGAAGGGGCCAAGTGAAACTGATATAAATAAATTCCATCACTGCTTCTTCCCCTCCAAGCTTTTCCTCTTTGGAAGGACTGATTTCCAGATTCAACAGGTTTTCTCTCAATGCCTGTGTTTCTCCCCATCACAGCCCGCAGTGTACATCAGGATAAGGAACCGAGCCCAGAATGAGTATCTCACGGTCACTGGGAATGCAGCAGACACCAAGGCGACGTCTGTGTGTGTCTCTCCCTACAGCGGGAAGAACTCTCAGATCTGGCACTACTGCCGCGGACTCTTCAAATCCAAGGTGACCAGCCCCCCTGACACCACGCCCTGCTTTTTTGGTTTGGGGCCCTTTCTTTTGGAAACCAGAATCTCGTCAAATCAAAGGGCATGACAAAATAATGTAACTTCCTACATAGAGTTTTGTAATTATAGAAATATTGGTATTTATATTGCTAAAGCATGTAAGTGAACTGGACTTAGAAGTTTTTTGATCTAGAAAATTCAGTTTCTGTTTTAGAGTAGAAACTAAGGTGATCACATACTATGGATCTGTGTAAGTGATTTTTCAAACCGATGATCAAAGCCACGGGGGACCCACACTGGGCAGTATGCTCTTTAGGTGAGCTGTTCCTTCATGGCCCAGGTGAAACCTGCCACCTTGTGATTCCAAACATGGTGAAACGTTCTTATTTCCAAAATGTACAGCAAAGTAATTAGAAAGACAGGAGCTGTATGGGAGAAAGCCTAGAAAATAAAATTGAGGTTTCCGTTTTTCTGTGACTCCTCCATTATGTTTGATGCTATGAGGAGTAGAATTAAAATTTTAAAACATTACAAGTGTTTTATTGTTTTACCATTGTTTATGGCTTAACCACTTTTTCCTCATGTTTCAACAAAAATGAAAAGCATTAAAGAAAACTAAGCTCAACCTAATACATTTAAGCTAACAGGGACTTAACATTTCATTCCAATTCAGCAAATGTTTATTGGACATCTCTTGTCAGAAGCCGGCGTCCTTTTAAAAACAAGCACCTCTATTTCAGGTTTATTTCTGTACCATTTGCTCCCCTCAGCCACAAAGACGACTTTTAAAAAGCTTACTAAGATGATGCTGTGTCGTATTCTTTTAGATGAAGATGGAGTCATTTAATGTCTGTGGTTCATTCACAGGAAAGCGCAGCCGGGCGCTCTTCCTCCCAGGAGCCCTCCCCTCCCCTACCCTACCCCCCCCAGACGCTGCCAGGCGTGGGGTTACCCTTGCCTTTCTCTCTCCTGAGCAACAAGGGACCTTCTTTTGTCTCTGTAACCTGTTTCCGAAGCCTGTGAAGCCCAGCTGCTGACTTCTACCTCTGTAACTTTCTAAACTTTCTAATTTGAAAGAAAAGGAAAGGGGGCCAATTCAACTGATTTTAGCAAACACATACTACCAGTGTATTTCTTAACCCTTTTAGGCCACTGATACATGTCTCGACGTGATTGGTGGCCGAGACACTCCCGGAGCTAAAGTGGCCCTGTGGACTGAGCACGGGCAGTTCAGGCAGAAGTGGAGACTGAACAGAAACGGAACCATCAGCTCCTATCTCAGCGACCAGCTCGTCCTGGACGTCACAGGTGGGCCCGCGATGAGACCCGGTGTTGTGTTTCTGGATGCCACTTTAAGTTCCAAACCTCCTCCTCCTCCTGGGTGAAAGAAATGCTTATGTGTAAGAGAAACATTAAGTCAATTTAAATTATGTGCGAAAAAAGTTAAGATGGGCTGTTTTAACAAAACAATTAGCTGTGTGAATCAAGCAGAAGAAGGCTAAAGACAGTCTAAGAAGGCTTTTGTTCATTAGTATCATCGTGAAATTATTTGTTCATCCCATGATCTTTGTGAACAATTTTAAATTTGAACATCAAACCATAAAATACCATGTTTCTTAGAAAGAAACACCTCTTTTTGCTGTGAATTGCTATAGTCCTTAAAAGCCCTCAGTTATAACTTATGGTATATATTTAACCTTGGTTTTTAACCCAGCAAGGTCAGGGTCAGGACGGTTCAGGGCCGTTGCTGTAACTGGGTTAGTCACAGCCACTGCAGGTGTAGAAGCAGAACCACAGAACGTGACCACCAGCCGGAGCCCCGGAGCACTCCGCACTGCTGATGCCGTCATCTATTTTACCTCTTTGTTCTTCCATTGGAGTCATAATAAGGTCCTATTGAGATGAATAGTAGCTAAGCCTGTTTCAACTCAGTTTCCCATTTCAGAATGCTTTGTAAATGACACACTAATCTACCTGAACAGCAAGCTGAACAAAGCTTGTGGAAACTATTAAGCACCTGTGTGAACAAATAATCTTTTCTTTTACAATTTCTACTTCAGGAGGAAATTATTATGACAAGACTCATGTAATTGTAAATCAGCCCCTGGAGGGAGAAGAAACACAGAAGTGGGACATTGAAATACTGTGAGAGAACTGGCAGCATCCCTAGAAAGAGCAAAGGAAGGAGGAGCCCCACGGCCCTCGTAAAGTAAGCTGCTTGTCCTCACGCTCCTGGACACTGAGGATGAATGAACTCTTCTCTGAGGCTCCAAGACCATTACTGTTGATCACGGGGAAAGGTCCGGATGCTCTCGCCAACTCTTCAGTGGTCCTATGGAGAATAAGCTGTGATTTCTGGGGAAGGCGCTATTCCTCCTTGATCTGCAGCTTGGGTGAGCAGGCTTCCTGAAGTGTCTTCTCTCTTAGCTACCAAATAGGATCCCTGTCCCCGGCGGCCACTGCTGAGGACATGGGTGGGGCCAGCGACCTGCAGGAGCTGCGCCTGTCCTAGCAGCACGTGCTAGGACACGTGAGTGCAAGGCGCAGCATGTGAGTGCAAGGCGCAGGGAATAGATTCCTACAGGTCAAGTCTTACTCTTGTGAAAAGAACAACTTTTAGCAATATTTGAAGACATGTTTAATAAACCTTCCTGTTAAGCTGCTGTATTAGCTAAACCTTAAAGGTTTTCTGTTGAGGCTTTTATGATATTGAAGCCCCGTAAGTCTTCATACTTATAACTGACCCCAGGGAGGGACCTCAGTTTTACTAGGAAAAAGGCTCAAATACTGGAGTATCTTCTGCGGCTATTCTTTGCTCAGTCCTTCAAACTGCAAAAGCACAAATAACCTGTGACCCTCCTTGCGCTCTAAGTAACAAAGCCGCCCTTCTGGGCCACAGGACTCTAACCAGTGTTTACCTAGCGGGGTGCAGAGACCTCAGCCTAGATTTCGCCCGATCTGCCCTCGAGAAGTGTTTTTAAAGAGTGTGTCACCTTTGTATAAGATAGTCAGATTTTTCTTTGGTCAAGTAAATGGAAGTTTCAAATGTTCAAATTAAAACCAAGTATTTGAGACTTGACTGTACCATTTTACTTTATGTAAAAGTGCTTATTTTTCTATGAAATGATAGAAAACTCAGTTTTCACTCCCATTTTAAATAGCTTCTATTTAAGCAAAATCAGATAGGATACCATCTTGAACTCAATTTCATCACTACCACCTTTAACTAAACAATTTGCAAGCATTTTCCCCTCCTGAGTTGGTTTTAAACTGATAGTGAGACAACTGTTCCCTTCATCCCCAACTTTTGATGAAAAGCAGGAAAAGTTCTGTTCAATTTTTATATAGAAAGATTAAGTTCTCCAGTGGTATTTTTTAAAATATCAACCTATATGCACTTTAGAATGTAAAATAACAGTGAATTGTTTAAACTCAAAGACCCACTATTTTGAGTATTTTTTTAGAGAGACTTGGTCTTTCCATGTAAATACTGAAGGTTTTTTTTTCCTTTAATCTCAGGCTCTTTGTCATGTTTCAAGCAGCATCTATAAAACTCCCTTATGCCCATTGATACGAGTGCCTCTCATTAGTGTGGCAGTATTATTTAATGGAAATTACAGGGGTATCTTTATTTTAAAGGGGGTGCTTATGTATACTGTCATTGTAAAAATCCAAGTTAAAATTTTTTCTTTCATGTTAATTGTTTAAATTTTTTCTAGAGCCAATGAGGCTCTTTATAGGAGTTACTTCCAAAGAACAGAGACAGGTAACAATTTTTAAATTTAACTGATACATTTATTGTAGTTGTGCCTTTTCTACCACACTGGATTAAATAAACTTGTCAAAAGTATGGTTTTGTCACTTTCTAGATGCCCAGTAATCTGCCATTCTTTCTCCCACGTGCCTCTGTTAGTACGCATGGCCAGCTGACCGCCAGCTACAGGCAGGTCTCAGATTATCAGAGACACATGCAGGCCGAGTTGTATGTAACCGCTCCTCCAACCCAGTCCGTTGGTGCAGACCGAAAGGGGCTCCCTGGCACTTAAACCGCAGGTCGTCTTCTACTGTGCAGATGTGAAATGCAGGACGCTCGGCTCTGTGACAGCACTAGACCACCTGGATTAAACATTCCGTCCAGAGGGCCAGGGCCAGGGCTTCCTTCTGCTCATCCGTGGGAAGTTTCAGGTCCTTGACAGAAACAGGTGAGCTGTTCCAAATTTGCTTCAGTGCATCCACGTGAGACAAAGGAAAGCGAAGTCCATGAGACTGAAAAAGGATAAGTGAGTCTGATAAAATACAACTTGTCTCTGAAGTGGCATTTTCATTTAAACTTCCAAAATTCTCAGCACATCATCATTTTTGATGCCCTTCACAAATATGAAGCTTGTTCCGGATAGGTGAGGTTATTATCTACATAAACTATAATAACTTACAGAACTTGCCAATTCCCCTATGAAAACACAGACTTCATGAAAAGCATGCTAACGTAAATGCTTCCCATTACATTACACCTTTCCTACAAGGCTGCGTGTCCCAGCTAGTACCTTTTAAAGCTGGCCTGTGTGTGTGTGTATATCTCAGAACTGTCTGACTCCATCATCCCCATGCGAGGGCTCTGTCAGCTGCATGAAATGTTAAGCCCACACTGCAGTCATAAAAAAGCTCATTACCCATAAACCAAAGGTAACAGATTCTTCCCAGCCACCCCCAAATCACAGGAAGAACATTTGCTTTAGGTTGGAACAAACCTCTGTTTCCTCACTTCCCATCATGTGTGTCTCTCTCCTATTCTTTAAGGAATGATACACAAAAACCATGTTTTCTTGAGCTTCATCCTTAAAAAAAAAAAAAAAATTATCAATAGAATGTCAAGGGCTTCATGACTAGGAAGGTTTTCCAATAACAGGTCACTACCAAGAAAAAAAAGCCTTGGTGCTTAAGTGAAATTTATTGAATACCATAAAGAATCCTTTTGGCAAAAAGTTACAATATATGCATGTTATTTCATGATAGTCCTGTGTGTGTAGCAAATCATGGATACAAAGAGTATCCATGAGTATCCTGAGATGCTAGAGCATCTTCATAATCTTGATTTAATGAAAAAGCAACAGTATTTATACAGAAACTTAACAAAACACTCAGGTTTCTTCAGGTAATCACACCTGCACTTTTTTGCATCAAGGTTTGACATCATATATAAATTGAAACCATATGAATGCCATGCAGTATGTGTGACTGTATGCTGCTGTGTCTAATATGCACCCACATTTTTGTGTGCATCCTACACAGGAATATCATGCCCATTATTAGACCCATGGTATGTAATCATTGTACCCATGCATGATGCACATCCTTTATTTTCCCTAAAAAATCTGGGCAAAAAAGTGCACGTTATACATGGCAAAAGACAGCATGTCTCGAGAAATGCCAGCTGTATGATCTCCACTCACAGTAGTCTCCCCAACGGCCTCCGCTGCCCTCCCTTCTCCACTCTACACAGCGCAGTTTCTCCCCCAGAGTGTTGTCCTCCCTGGCTGCCTCTTACACGAGAGTCACACACCCTGACTTGATAGAAAGTATCCCCAATCCGACTGGTTACTGGAGTAACTGGGATTTTTCTTTAAATGAAGGCATGTACTTTTGAGATTTTGTATATATTAGAAACCAGCCCTCTGCAGGTCCCGCCTTGGTGGCTGGTTTCAGAGACAGCTAGGTGCCCCTCTCACTCCCCCAATGATTCAGGGAGAACCCTCCCAAGAAAGCTGATGAGGAGGAACAGGGTGCAGCCACGGGGCATGGGGTAGTTCCAAAGGTCCTCAGGATTGTATAGGGAGATGTAACAACAAAGGCAAAGGCTCTAACCCAAACCAGATAAAGCCCAGGAATTCATAATCCATAATACAAGTTTTCCAGCTGATTCTACGATCAGCCAGTTTGGGAAACTACTGGGCCAGGATAGGGAAAGTAGAATATCTTTCTACAGGATAGAGATTTTTTTTAAGAAGAGACATCAACAAAACCATACGTAGAGACAGATCTGCACAGTGTAGAGGACGGGAGAGGGACTGAGCCAGGGAGATGCATGATTGGGGTCTGGCCTGAAACCTGGTTGGGAGGCACAGACCAGACGTTAATCACTGCAGGAAGGGGTGAAAAAGGGTTCTGTGGGAGGCGAGGGCGAGCCCTCAAAACACCCAGTGGGCAAGAAAATCGGCAACAGTGAGGGTTGGGCATTGTCTGCTCTGAAGTAATGGCTCTGGGGTGTGAGAACAGATGGAATCCCGGGAGAGAAGGCCAGGGGCCATCTGTTAGTCTGGTAACCTGAGATGGAAGTGCCCCGAGAAGGGAGGAAACCTTTTCCCCTCCGATACTCACAGATTCATCCTGCTCTGGCTTCACTGTGAGGACAGTGTGGTCCTTAAATTGCAGCTTCACTACGCTGTCCAACCTGGGCAGCTGTCCACCTAGAAAATCCAGAGACAGAAGCCAGTTTACAGAAGTGGAAACCAGCAGGATCTAACTTGTTTGCAGGTGAAACTACTTCAGGAACACATTCACTAACGACTGGCAGTGAACCCAAACATGGTGTGCCCTCTCCAACTCAGGTATTTGCTTACCCTGACATTTTTAGTGACATTACAGTTTACCCCTTGTACAGCCGAGCCCATTCTCAGTGAAGAGAGACACTCAGTAAGATCATGACAGGAGTCGGTAAGTGCATTAAACAGACATAAACGGCCCTAGCTGGCGTGGGTCTGTTGGAGCACCATCCTGTAGACAAACAGGTTGCAGGTTTGATCCCCAATAGCTGTGCATACGAGAAGGCAACCAATCAATACGGGTGTCAAGTGTGTCTCTCTCTCCCCTCCCCCCGCCATTCTTCTTTCTAAAAGTAATGAAGAACTCTCCTCCGGTAAGGAGTTTAAAAAAAAAAAAAAGAGAGAGAGAGCCTTAATACCACGGAAGCCCAGTAGTTGTCACAAGAGACAGCCCCTGCCCTGCTGCACCGAACACAGCCGTCCCCGGTCCCAGTTTCAATCCTATTGCTCCTTACTCTGCACGTGCACTAGAGAAGGAATACTTGAGTTCAGATGGTACCACCCCACCAATTACTAGTTGCATGACCATGGCAAATTAATCAGTCTGTGTAAGTCAAGCACAGTGTCACATAAAAGCCACCTAGTAACATTCACAGGGAAAAAAAAGTACTTTTCTGAATTGAATTTAACTTAGTGAAACAGCAGCCACTACAGACAGACTAGCCTTAAAGGGTCATCTGGTTGGGAAAAGAGTCTTAAGGGATCGTAGCTTTATTGACTATAATAGCTAAGACAAGGAAAACTTCCCCCAAAGATATAATAAAAATGTAAATAGAATCAATGTTAGAAAGGACCTTATAGGTTGTTTATTCTAGTGGTTCTCAACTGCTGATAAATAAGGCTTTTACAGAAGTTAGTAAAAGTAATGCCCTCAACTCAACCCGACTGGGAAAGAGAAAGGCAGCCTGAAACGGGCCTGGCCTCGCCGCTGTCCCTGCGTGCTCTGCAGGACACGAGACGGCTCCATGGAGACCAGTGCTAACCAACGGGGCCACTAGGTGACTGAGAGGTTGAGACAAAAGAAGCCCACTCCTTAATCGCGTCATAACTCAGGCAAAATACCCTCCGAACTGCAAACATGTCCAAACAGCCCCGCTTCTGCCCAGTCTGAGTGCCAGCTGCTGCTTTCCCACTTGTAACTTCGGCCTCCTTTCATTCCTCCTGCTACTCGGTAAGATGGACAAGAGACCCAGTCACAGAATCCCCTACTTCCTGACAGCATCCAGCCCAGAGCAAAGCCCTGCTTCAGAGCCTCCCAAAAGTCACCCAAGTCAAGCCCAGATCCTGGAAGTCCTTTCCAACCCCTTTTCACAGCGATGCCCCACAGTGCCCAGCAGCGTGTGTGGTCTTCTACACTGCAACCGTCAGTAACCCAACTCTGTCCGACTGCAGGCGTGGGTGCTGCTGGCCTTTGCTACAGGACAGCGAAATCACCATCCACCCAGGAGCGTTATGTCATTTACAGCCTATACCTGTCACAAAATAGTCACCTGGGACCTGGGAAAGGTCAGTGATAACCTTGGGCATTCTCATATTTTACCTGTTGATAGCAACATTTTACCCATTCCTGAGTTCATTCCAAAAAGATTATCTCCATGTTCAAGTTCTTAAAACATCCTGAAGATGATGAACACCAGAAGACTATAAACACACATATTTCTCACCCAGAATTACAGAACTCGCATTCCCCATCACGCTGGGATGCTTCGTCTTTTCAAATGACAGGTGGGGTGCAGGATGCCGCCGTGTGTGGGCAGCACGCGCTGTCCAACCACAACACCTGCGACGCAGATCTAGCTCCGTGTTAACTCTACACGCTTCGACCTTCCATCTGCTCACAGAGGGCCCACCAAGGAAAGCCTCCAAATATCCCCCACGAGCCCCAAACCACCGAGAAGGAAACAGCAAGCGGCACCTGGAGTTGCAAGTTCTGCTCCGTCTCCCACATAGTATGGTGGGAGTCTGTTCATAACAAAATCCTTCTTCATGTCTGATGACAGCAGCTTGTTGGTGCCTTCCAGACGGTCTGCAAGCGTCCTCAGAAAGCCACTCAGTCTTCTTACAGCAGCAGTTGTGGTTCCCACCTGCTGAAGACACGGCAGGGAGTGAGTCCTGGCCCAGACCCCAGCAGCACTCACCGCAGGGGTCCCGGTCTCAAGCATCCCCTGGGTTGGATGAGGGAGGGAAACTAGAACCCTAGGAACAATTATTTCCTTGTGACCACTGTTCATCTTAAACTACCTGTTATTTGGGGGTAAAAAATCAATTTTCAGGATTTTGCCCAGAAAGAGATCCCTGGAAATGTACAATCCCAACACTTGCATTTTGGAAAGCAAGTCCCTATCCAAGGTGACTGCTTCAGACAAGGAAGGCAACCTTTGCCCAATTCAGCACTAATTCACTCATTTTCTCAAATCTAGCCAAACAGTGCTGCTGCTTCCGATGCGAAACCAGCAGCTGGGGGAACACCGAGACCAGGCTCTCTGGTGGGCCTCTCCTAACTAGTAATCTCGTGGGACAGTCCTCCCAGCCGCATTGTCTGTGCACCATTTGCTCAGCCAACATTTTCCACAGTGCCTGGCACGCCGCCACAAAGCACAGGCAGACAGCCACGTGCACAGCCCCACGCACTCTTGGGGTCATGTGCTGTGCAGCACCCCATTCAGTCTGCACACCCTCCGGCCCTGCAGGTCCACACGAGATGATGGCTCATGCGAGAGGAAGGACCCTGCGGTCCCTAGGGTGTCGGCTACAGCCTCAGCGGGCCGGGCTGCGAACCCCACTCCTTCCACACCTGCCTTGACCCCTTACCAGGAGGAGCTGCCGGGGGATGCCAGCCCGGAATGCCAGGTCTTCCTTTGCAGCGTCAAACACAAGCCCTGAAATGGTGTCCAAAAGGAAATCTCCCCATGAACTGTAACAGCAGCAACAAAAAAAAAAAAAACAGTGAACACACACAAAACATACAGAACACACTGATTACGAGTGAAGCCAAACACTATGGAAGCCTCCACTGCATTCCAGTTCCCCTGCCCAGGCACTGAGCTCACTGAGTTCGACGTCCCTCAGCACAGAGACACCAGGCTTCAGCCACACTGTTCCTCTCCCTCCCCACGCTCTCCCACCCCCGTGGAAGGTTAAAGGTGGGAAGCTAGGCTTTACTCATGATTTCTCCTAAAGATAGCAAGGAATTGGCCCTGGCTGGCATAGCTCAGTGGATTAAGTGCAGGCTGCGAACCTAAGTGTCGCAGGTTCAATTCCCAGGCAGGGTACATGCCTGGGTTGCAGGCCATGGCCCCCAGCAACCGCACATTGATGTTTCTCTTTCTCCTTCCCTTCCCTCTCTAAAAATAAATAAAATCTTTAAAAAAAAAAAAGATAGCAGGGAATTAAATATGCACTGTCATAAAGTAGAAAGTTTAAAGGACCAATTTTTTTTAACGTTTTTAACTGTAACCAAGTGTCTGAGGAGAGCTTTGTAGGAAATTTTAGCACTCCATCATTATAGGACCAAAAAATAAATTTTATGTGCAAAAACTCCAAAAGTTACACATTTAGGGCAACAGCAAGATCCCTTGACTGTAATTATCTGCAGTTACACATTACAATTTCCTTTGTCCCTTAAAAAAGAGCGGCACTCTTCCTCTGCAAAATACCCATCGACATCAATCTCAAAAGAATTGATCTGGCAACTTGCTAAACTCCAGCAATGGCTTTACTGGGGTAGAAAATAGAAGCCAGTGGCCAAAAATAGCACCTAGGGAGGCGACTCAGTGCTCAATTACCTTTGCTTTCTCGGGAGCATTTAGAACTGGCTGGCTCCCGAAAGTGTGCCCACGAGAGACACACTCTGGGGGGTGCTCTCTTTAAACATTTCTTAGCTGTTTAAAATTTTCCTCTGTGTCACCAGCAGGTTTCAAATTACTAGCTATATCCAAAATGGAAATTCGCAGTATGACTTTTGCTTCTCACTCAGCAAGCAAAATTAGCATGTATACTTCCTTCCCAGACAAATGGCGGAGGACAAAAGCCATATGAGAGCACTTTCCCCAAGACATCCACTGATACCTGGTGGCCTCACCACTTTGCAATCTCACATTTTGATTGAACTTCGACCTGGAGGACACATTTGGAGCTTTCAGCAGCACAAAATAAGCTCCACCTCTGCAGGGCACAGGTGGGAGCCACACGGAAGTGGCTCCCAGAGGAATCTAATTGCAGCGAAACAGAGCTCCGTGCTTTCCTGAGAATCAGCATGGACCCTGGGCCTTTCCGAAATTGGGAATAACACCTCTTAGGCCGGGGTTCACTTTGGTAGAACAGCCAGATCCCCTGCTGCTGTCCCACACAGCAGGCCCCAATTGTTCCAACACACTACCCTAAAGCAGTATTAGGAAGAGGCCATAAGGAGGACCAGGACCACGGCACAGGGACATCTCCAGGGGGCAGTGGTCCTCGAGCTACATTTTTCCCATTCCAGCTCCAGCACCACTGACACAAACCACAGTCCAGCCAGGACACTAGTCAGGGTGCCATCACTTAGCTCTTCCCCAGCCCTCGCTGACGGGAAAAACAGGTGGGTGGGACCCAGGGGCAAGCTACCCAGACTTCATTCTTGGGATTGGGAAACAGTGAGTCAGGCACCTACAGAAGCAAAAGCTAATGAGTTCAGTGAGGTAGAGGGAGGTGGAGAAGTGATGATGGCTTATGATGAGCCAGTGTTGTAAGTAAACAGAAGCTGAGTAAGGAAGAAAAGGGGAGAGCCCAGGCTGGTGTGACTCAGTTGGCTGGGCATCGCCCTGCAAGGTGAAAGGTCGCCAGTTCAATCCCCAGTCAGGACACAGGCCTAGGATGCTGCAGGTTATGTCCCCAGTCAGGGTGCATACAAGAAGCAACCATCAATATTCCTTTCTCAGATCAAGGTCTCTCTCACCTTCTCCCTCCCTTCCCCCTCTCTAAAAATAAACAAAATCTTAAAAAAAAATGAAAAGAAAACACGGGAGAGAAACCCAATTACTAGGAAATAGTTGGTGGCAATAAGGAAAAGATAAGAGAATCTGGGAAAGGGGACGTGGCTGAGTACCATCCATGGCAGGACGCGAGAAGATGTGTGCGTGTTCGTGGGCCCAACTGCCCCGCGGCCGAGCCCCAGAGCTGCTTCGGATTCTGAATGGACTTCTGGTTTCAGTCTCCCTGTGGCACCTGCCCTGCTCCAGTTGCTACAACCCACTCCCCCAATTGTCCCTGCTCTTTTTGAGGTGGTCTTGGTGACTTTCCATTGCTCACTATGCAAGGAACCGAAACACAATGACAAGGGTGTTTTTTGTAAGGGAAGCCTGACACGCACTTTGGCCCCTACTTATGTGTGGGCAAAAGCAGCCCCAACCTCAGGCTGGGCTCCAGCAAGTTCCTCCAGTCTCTTAAACACCAGGGTTAATTTCACACTGCAGAGCCAGATGAGGAAGCACAAGTATGCTTACAAACTTGTTCTGCAAGTTGCAGCATGGAAGGTAGGAGACTTGCTGTCCCCTGGGCTGGGCTGTCCTCTCCCACTCTGACCTTCTGACCCACCTTCTGATTCATCCCGTAAGTCTCACTCAGCTTGGGAGTCACGTCATTTCTGAAGCCTTCCCTGAAGCCCCTGCTTTGCTTAGTGCCTTCCTCTAGTGCCGACCCCTTAGTGCTGACCCCAAGTCACCTCTACAAACCTGTGATGGAACTTACCACAGCCTGGTAATTATTTGCATGCCTATCTCCCTCCTACCACCACCTCCGGGGTATAAGTTCTCTCAAAGCCTTTTCATTGCAATGCCTGCACTCCCAGAAAAAACTAGCACAGCGCCTGATGCCCACATGCTGAGTAAACTGATCATTGGTGTTCCTCATGAGATGTGAACTCGCAAGGCTGCTGTGTTAGGAAATCATTCACAAGACGCTCCCACCCTGGTCCTGTCCTATGACAAGGCACCTGTCAAAATGGACACAGTTGTAACTGGAACTGCTTTCGGCACATGTGGTTTTAGGTCTGACTGTTCCAGATTACCTTTCCTGTTTTAGCTTCATGAACTGTAAAAAGTGGACACCTCACCCTGGCTGGCGTAGCTCAGTGGATTGAGTGCGGGCTGGAAACCAAAGTGTCCCAGGTTCGATTCCCAGCCAGGGTACATGCCTGGGTTGCAGGCCATAACCCCCAGCAACTGCACATTGATGTTTCTCTCTCTCTCTCTCTCTCTCTCTCCCTCCCTTCCCTCTCTAAAAATAAATAAATAAAATCTTTAAAAAAAAAAAAAGTGGACACCTTATCAGAGACCTAGAGGTTTCAATAGTTACAGAGTCTCTGTTTGGGGTGATGAAAATGTTTTAGAACCAGACAGTGGTGGTGGTTGCAAAACAGTGTGAATGCAATTGATGTCACTGAACTACACACTTAAAAATAGTTAAGATGGCACATTCTATGCCATACAGGGTGGGGCAAAAGTAGGTTTACAGTGTTCATATGGAAAAAGACACGCTGGTTGCGATGATTACAATAGCTTTATGATTATTACAATAGTGTACTCACAACTGCAAACCTACTTCTTTTTTAAAAGAATGATTTTTTTATCCTCACCTGAGGATAGGTTTATTGATTTTAGAGAGCGAGAAAGAGAAGGAGGGGGAGAGTGGAGATGGGGAGATGGTGGGAGAAGAGAGAGAGAAAAGAAACATTGATATGTGAGAGAAACATCAATCAGCTGCCTTCTGTACGAGCTCCAACCAGGAACTGAACCCGCAACCCAGGAATGTGCCCTGACCAAGGATCAAACCTGCAGCCTTTTGGTGTAAGGGATGATGCTCCAACCAACTAAGCCACCCTGCCAGGGCCAAACCTATTTTTGCCCACCCCTGTATATATTTCATCACAGTAAAAATAATTAAAAAAAAAAGAAACAGACACATACATACCATAAGCCCAGCCTGATGTCACTAACAGGCAGCCATACCTGCAGCTGTGGCTTCCCCTTCCCAAACTAGGGGACCCTAATTTGGAAAACCCCCAGCGTTGTACAGAGTCAGGTTCCTGACAGCCCCAGGAGAAAGCCCAGGCCGGCCAATAACACGGATAGGACACTGAGGGAATATGAAGTCAGCAAAGGAGCCTGAAACCCCCGGGGCTCGGATGAGTGGGAGGGCAGCAGCCCACTCCCTCACGCCCCTCCTGGAAGTGGCTGCTAGAGCCAGAGCGTGGAGCTGCCCCAGCGCTGGGCCGGGAGACCTGCTTACTTGTTCTGGTAGGTGCTGATGGTCACGTGAGTCGAGTGGGCCAGCCCCGGAGGGGTGTCCGCCTGATGAATGGTCCCTCTGGGAAAGTATAACAAATCACCAGGCTAACGAAAGAAAAAGAAAGGAGGAAAGAGTTAATAAGATATCTTCTCAGTCCCCTATGTTTTGTGGTGGCAAATACAGGTTTTGCATTTTAATTCTCCCTTCTAGAAACCTCTACGTAGTCGTTCAAGGGGCCCTGCTGGTACAGCTTCGCTGTGTCGGGGAGACTTTCCCTGTGAACCCCGGCCTGGAAAGGCTGTTGGGCTCTGAAGTCACTTTGTTCCCAAATGAGGACCAGGTCCACCTGAAACTACCCCGCCCAGACCCAGGCATCGGGGAGGTGACCCTCAAGGCTGAGAAGCATGCCTACTCTCTCTCCACCCTTCACTGGTGCAGGGAAGAGCAGGAGATTTAGGGTCACACAGACTCAGCCACTTACTGGTGACCCTGGCAAATACTTTACCTCCCAAAGCCTCAGTGTTTTTATCTGTAAAATGGAGGCAACAGCCCCACATCTCACAGGATTACCTTGAGGAGGACAAAGGAGACACCGTAGCCAAAGCCCTTGGGACGATGGTGCCAGTGGGGTTGTACTATTGGGGTTGTACAGTACTTTACCCACCAGTCACAGTTTGTGAGTCTATATCCATCATAAGTTCCCAGAACCTAAACTACTGCACCATCTAGCACAACTGAGAGATTCGAGGAATGTTTGAATGAAAGGACAAAAAACCACACAGCCCTTCACCTGAACCCGAAAACCATACGAAACTAAAGATCAAGCACTTTCTCAGGCAGGTGAGCCTCCTCCACCCTGTTCTGGTTCTCTCCCAAGCCAGTGGACAGAAACATCTTCCCCAGATCACTCCTGCCCTGAGCTACTTCCCCACTAATCCCACCCAGGGCACAGTCTATGGAGCAGCTGGCAGAGGACAGCAGAGGGGCTCCTGAGGGCCACTTCGCTACCCCCTGCAACCACAGGGGGCAGTCTGGCTCAGGGGGAGCTCAAGAAATATCAGATTTAAAAAACTCTTCTTTTTGCCCTGGTTGTGTAGCTCAATGGATTGAGTGTAGGCCTGAGAATCAAAGGGTCTCTGGTTTGATTCCCAGTCAGGGCACATGCCTGGGTTGCAGGCCAGATCCCCAGTAGGGGGTGAGTGAAAGGCAGCCACACATTGATCTTTCTCTCACTCTCTTTCTCCTTCCCTTCCCCTGTCTCTAAAAATAAATAAAATCTTTTTTAAAAACTTTTTTAATGTTAAGATTTGCCTTAGAACAAGAAATAATATACAATTATTTATATTCAAAGTGCTACCTTGATGGCTTACTTGCCATGAACCAAACTGACAGAGAAACCAGTAGTTCAAGTACATAAATGCTTTCCTCACAGTCAGAGCTCCTCTGCTGGGTGCTTCAGTGCCAGCCCTCTGAATGAGGCCCTCACATATATTCTTCATTAACTCACTCACTTCTTCAGCCCACACACATCTGATGAACACCGCCCCTCCCTCCATGCCGGGCCCCTTGTTAGGCACTGGGGGTAGAGCACTGAACACAACCAAGACCTGCCCTCATGTAGTACGTTCCAGAACAAAAGACAAACATTTGAGAAAGGAGAAGAGATCAGAAACACTACAAAGGCATGCTAGTGGAACAAGAAAGATTAAAAAGAAAAGTAGCAAATAAATAATGTCAAGTGGTGGTAAATGCAATGCAAACAAAATAAGCACAGGAAGGAGGGAAATAAGCTGATGGAGGTGGGAAGTGGGGGTGCTTGGGGTAAGAGGTGCTCTCTTATCCAGAATGATCAGTGAAAACTTGCTATGCTAGCAGGACATTTCAGTAGACTTTAGGAAATGAGGGAGCCAGAAATGTGACTGCTGGGGAGAAAGGATTCCAAGGGAGGTAGGGAGCAAGTGCAAAGGTCCTGAGGCTGGAAAGTACCTGGGCACATTTGGGGAGCGTGTGGTACAGGCCAGTGTGGCTCAAGGGTAGTGAGTGAAGGTAGAAATGATGGCAAGCGACATGGGAAGGCAGCAAAGGGCCCGAATGTTAGGGGCTTCTGGGCTGTTTTAAGGATTTGGCTTTTACTGTGGGTTTAACACATAGTCACAGGATGTCTGGGCAAAAGGGGCCTTGAATCTCAAAAGGATCATTATGTCAGAAAAGCCTGCAAAGGGGACACCACATAGGAGGTTTTTTATAAAAAGACTTTATTTACATATATTTAGAGAGAGGGGGAGGGAGAGAGAGGGAGAGAAACATTGATGTGAGAAAGAAACATCAATTAACTGCCTCTCATACACACCCCGACCAGGGACTGAACCCGAGACCCAGGCATGTGCCCTAACCAGGAATCAAACCAGCGACCCTTCGCTATGCTGGACAATGCCCAACCCACTGAGCCACACCAGTCAGGGCCAGATTGGAGGCTTTGTATAAATCCATGTCCAGGGACTTTGTCTTAAACAAGTAGAAAACCGGTAACACATTTATAGAAAGGAGGAGGCTAGGGACAGGGTGGGACTTGAGATTTTGATATGGAGAATATTAAACTTGCAATGCCTTTCACCTTTCTAATGGAGACAGACAGTGTGTAGGCAGCTGGAGTTTGGAGACAGGGACTAGAGATATAACAACGCATTTAAGATACACCAGTGTAGAGGGTATTTAAAACCTTGGATGTGGCTGTGGACTGAGAAAAGGGGTCCTGGAAATGAGCCCTGGCCCCCTGACTGGCAGAGGTGGGAAGACTGGCTGAGGACAAAACGGCAGAGAAGAAAGGCTAGGACAGTCAGTGAGGGGGAAAACAACCAAGACAGGGCTCATCCCAGCAACCCAGTGAAGAAGGCGGAGTGTCCCAGTGTCAAATGCTGCCAATGGGCAGACTGAGATGGGGGCTCAGAGTTGACCACCGTCCTTGATAACATGGAGCTCACTGGTAACCTCGAGAAGGGTGGTTCTGGAGGATGGTGGGAAGAAAAGCCTACACAGAGGGACTCCCAAGAAGAGGAGAGGAGAGAAAACCAAGAGCATTGTGACAGGGTCCCCAAAGATGCCTATGTCCTAAACCCCCGCGCCTATGAATATTTGGGTTACACAGACAATGTGAAACTAAGGCTGCAAATGGAATTAAGGTTGCTGACGGGATTATTCTGGATCACCTAGGTGGGCCCAATACAATGACAAGGGTCCTTAAAAGGGGAAGAGGGTACTGAAAGTGAGAACCAGAGAGAAGGCAGCAGGAGAAAGACTAGGCTGCAAGCTGCTGGCCTTGAAGACGGAGGAAGGGCCATGAGCCGAGGCGCGCAGGCAGCCCCAAGAAGCTGGAAAAGGCAAGGGAACCAATTCTCCTCTGGGGCCTCCAGGAGTGCAGACCTACTGAAGGGTGGATTTCAGCTAAGTGAAATCCCCTCTGGATGCCTGAACTGCAGAACTATAAAATAAATTTGTGTTCATTTAACTCAGAGCCTGTGTTAACCTGTGGTAATTTGATGAACAGCAATATACTGACATATACCCATGTCTTCCAAGGGTATATGTAAGGGAAGTATCAAAGTAATATTTTTCGATCCTTACAACTTACAGTGTGAATATTACGGTCTCCATTTTAATAAAGAAACTTATATTTAAATAAGTAACTTGCCCACAGACACATAGCTCCTAAGTGACAGCAGATGAATTCAAACTCCTATTCGTCAGACTCCCAAGCCACAGAGCAGTGTTCCCAGGACAGGGGTGACGTTCGCCGCAGACCCTGAGTCTGGTAGACAGATCTCTGCCTCTGGAGCAGAGAGGGAGTGGGTGAGAAGGGCTCTACTAGCCCAGGCCCGCCCCCAACAGTGACTCAGCTTTTCTAGTTCATATACTGGGCATTTCCACAAGATTTCACTGAAAAGATTCACTGACTGAAAACTCTCATGTTTGCAGACACACAACTGGAACAACCCCGCAGTCCCTGATACTGTCTTCCTCCCAGGAAACTCAGGGTGTCTCCCACTGAACTGTGGTCCCGATGGGTGTGCGATTCATGCACAGCGCTCCATCTCCTCTGAGTGAGTTCCGCACTGCCTACCCTGGAAGACCACCAGGAAGCCCCAGCCTTCTTCAGCAGGGCAAGGAGCCAGTTATCTGCCTGGGTAACTCAGCCCTGGCCTCAGACACAATGGAGGGCTTAGTCCTTGGCCTAAACATAATCAACAAAGATAGATAAACATGCTTCTCCAAGACTGGGGTTGCCAAACTCTTTCTGTAAAAGGTCAGATAGTAAATATTTGTGGTTTGTGGGCCACATGGTCTCTATAGCAACTAGTCTACCCTGCAGTGTAATGTGAATGCAGTCCTAGACATAAGGAATGGGTGTGGCTGTGTTCTAATAAACTTTATTTATGAAAATAGGCATCAGGCCATATTTTGATCCATGGGCCATAGTCTGCTAACTGCTGACCAAGAGCATAAAAAGTGAAAGATACCTTTATTGTTGTGTTTATTTGAGTCTCTACAATATAGGCACCCATCGTAAAAAGGGAGATTGTTCCCCCCAGTTAGTGCTAGGCAGGCAAAGATTTAAAATCAAGAAAGGGCCACAAGGCATTGAGTAAGAATCAGACATTAATTATAACTTCAAGATTCCAGAAATACAAAAACAATAACTATATGCAAGTATATCAGGAAGGTAGAATCTTTGGAATGGTTTGAATTAACTATTGTCTTATTGACATTAAAAGAAATTAAGTTTATGTTTTGTAGAAAAAGATATAAAATGTAAGCTGACTTCCAGTCAAGATAGTGGTGTAGGTAAACACATACAACCACATCAAAATTACAACTATAGAACAACCATCATTCATTGAGAACCATCAGAAACTGAGATAAATGGAAGTCCTACAACTACAGAATTAAAGAAGAAACCACATCCAGACTGGTAGGAGGGGTGGAGATGCAAAATGGGCTGGTCCCACACCCATGAGCAGCAGATAAAAATCAGAAGGGATGTCTCAGGAGCAAGGGGTCCCAACCCCATACCACATTTGGTTCGCCAGCCCAGGGTTCCAGTGCCAGGAAGAAAGTAGCCATAGTTTCTGGCTGTAAAACCCAGCAGGGATTGAGGCTGTGGAAAAAGAAACTTCCAAATCCCAGGCAATTCCTCTTAAGGGGCCTACATACAGATTTACTCGGACTCCCGATGAGCTCCAGTGCTGGGGCAAGAGTGAAAGTCATCAGAAACGTGGGGAGGAAATGAATTGTCCCTCACCAGGTAAGAGCTGGGGAGCAGCTTTCTCCCAGACGAAAGCGCTGGCAGAGGCCATTGTTCCTTTTCTGAGTCCCCTCACTGCCTGCACAGAGCCAGCAGGCGGGTGCCATATCTGAGACTCCATCAACCTGGTTCACACTGTTTGCCCCACTCTGCTAATTCCATGAGATCCCATCCCACCCAACTTTCAGGCCAATCCAAGCTGTTTCCAGTGGGTTTTCTGTATGAATGGCTTGTCTTGGCCCAAGTTTCAGATTTTCCTAAATTCTCTCAAACAGGCAGCATCAGGCTTTACCAAACCCCATACCTCTTGCTAAGTTGCCCCAGGCCCAGCACTAATAGCAGCCTATCTTGCTTCACAGCTTGGCCTCACCTGGGCACCTCCAACCCCAGAACAAGAGGCAGCTTTCTGCAGATCACTTTGTAGCTAACACTGTGTGACCTTGGACAGAACATGGGCAGTGGCTGACCTTGGACATGCCAAAAGCAATCAAGGCTCAACTACAATAGGAGGGTGTGTACAGCCCACAGGGTGGGCACACTTTGAGTACCCAGCTTGGGTAATAGGGGAGGCTGCACCACTGGACCCTAAAAGACACCACTACATAAAGCAACTCTATCAGGCCTGAAAGATGCAGTAGCTCTACCTAATACATAAAAACAAACACACAGAGGCTGACAAAATGAGGAGACAAAGAAACATGGTTAAATGAAAGAACAGAACAAAACTCCAGAAAAAAAAACTAAACAAAACAAAGAAAAGCAATCTGTCAGATTGAGAGTTCAAAACACTGGTTATAAGGATGCTCAATAAAATTAGTGAGGACCTCAATAGCATAAACAAGATCCAGTAAGAAATGAAGGATACACTAACTGAAATAAAGAACAATTTACAGGGAATCAACAGTAGACTGGATGAAGCCAAGAACTGAATCAGGAATTTGGAACATAAGGAAACAAAAAGCAAACAATCAGAACAGCAAGAAAAAAGAATTCAGGGGGAGGTTAGGAGGTAGAGGAATTAAGCAAAAAGGATAAAGGACTCATGGACATGGACAACAGTATGGTGATTGCCAGGGGCAGGGGAGTATAAAGGGACTAAATGGTAATGGAAAAAAATACAATAAAGATTAAATAGAATACAATAAAGATTTAAAAAGAAAAAAAGAGAAAAATCCCAAAAATAGAAGAGATAGTGTAAGGAGCCTCTGGGACAGTCTCAGGCATACCAACATTTGCATCATAGGGTGCCAGAAGAAGAGAAAGAGCAAGAAATTGGAAACCTTTTTGAAAACATAATGAGAGAAAATGCTTCTAACTTGGTGAAGGAAATAGACATACAAGTTCAGGAAGCTCAGAGAGTCCCAAATAAGATGAACCCAAGGAAGCCCACTCCAAGATACATCATAATTAAAGTGCCAAAGATTAAAGATAAAGAGAGAACCTTAAAAGCAGCAAGAGAAAAGAAGCTAGTTACCTACAAGGGAGCCCCCATAAGATCGTCAGCTGATTTCTCAAAAGAAACTTTGCAGGCTAGAAGGGATTTGCAAGAAATATTCAAAGTGCTGAAAAGCAAGAACCTACCTCCAAGATTACCCAGCAAAGCTATCATTTAGAATTGAAGGACAGATAAAGAGTTTCCCAGACAAGAAAAAACTGAAGAAGTTCATCGTCAGCAAACCTGTATGATGGAGGAGGAGTGCCCATAAGACTGTCAACTGAGTTCTCAAGAGAAACCTTACAGGTAAGAAGGGGCTGGAAAGAAGTATTCCAAGTCATGAAAGACAAGGACCTACATCCAAGATTACTCTATACAGCAAAGCTTTCACCTAGAATGGGAGGGCAGATAAAGTGCTTCCCAGATAAGGTCAAGTTAAAGGAGTTCATCATCACCAAGCCCTTATTATATGAAATGTTAAAGGGACTTATAAAGAGAAGAAAGAGAAGATAAAAAATATGAACAATAAAATGACAACAAACTCACAGTTATTAACAACCACACCTAAAACAAAAACAAAAACAAACTAAGCAAACACCTAGAACAGGAATAGAATCACAAAAATGGAGATCACATGGAGGGTTGTTAGGAGGTGAGTGGGAGGAGAAGAGGAGGGGAAAAGATACAGAGAATAAGTAGCATAAATGGTAAACATAAAATAGACAAGGGGAGACATTTCCTATACTATTGTAAGAATATTCTTACTATTGTAAGAATAGTATAGGAAATGTAAAAGCCAAAGAACTGACATGTATGACTTATGGACATGAACCAAAGGGGGAGAATGTGGGTGGGAGGGGGTGTGCAGGGTGGAGGGGAATAAAGGAGGGGGAATGGGACAACTATAATAGCATAATCAAAAAATATATTTTTAAAAATTAAATAAACAGAACAAAACAGAATCATAGACAGAGAACATTTTGATGGCTGTCAGATGGGAGGACGGTGAGTGGGGATGGGTGGGAAAGGCGAAGTGAGAAAGAAGTACAAATCGGTAGTTACAGAACAGTCGCGGGGCTGTAGAGTACAGCACAGGGAATAGAGCAGCCAAAGAACACACGCATGACCCACAGACTGGACAGTGGTGTGGGGCTTTCCTGAGGGAGTAGAGCGGAGGCTGAATGGAGGGGGATGATTTGAGCCAACTATAATAGCATAAACAATAAAATATAATTTTTTAAAAAGAAAAGGTATAAAGTTTAATTATGGAGCTATTCTTATCTAAGACTTTTTCTCAACAAACTCACATTCTGGGGACTGGTGGCCAGGATCCCATCCAAGCTAACTGCTCACAGACTTTCTCAGCAGCAAGATGTCAATGAAGCCAGGACACAATCAAGCCACCTGTCTTTGAGGAGGACTCCCCAAGGGCTTCATAACTACTGTTCTTCAGGTGACTATATGCAGGGGGAAGGGAGGAGAGAACGCAGACAGTCTGCTCCAAAACCAAGAGGAAAATGGGTCATTCTGGAGTTTAACCAACAAAAACAGTAAGGGGTCCCTGGCTGTACTCTGCCTCAGCCACGTACAGCCCAGCGCTGACCGCCGTCTTAGACACGGCATAGCTGCCCAAGACCAAATTTCCCCCCTTACTGGAGAGAAGTCAGAGGACACCGAATTCATAATTCACTCCTGTTGAACATGGCTTATATTTGGAGACAAGTTATCTGGAAAATAAACTTAGTACTTCCTTGGCTCACATTTACAAGTTACCAAATCTTTGACAGCTGCATGTGCTGGCTGACTGGAATGAGCTGTCCTGCCCCCAAACCCAAGGATGTACCCCCATGGGCACCATTACATGAACAGTAAACCTCAAACCTAAAGCTGTCTCAGGAGAGGTGCCCACAGTGGAAGTCCCATACCTTTAACGTGAACTCGTGGGCCGGCCTCCCGATCCTGTCCTCTGCCTCCACGCTGTAGTCCCGAGCCAGGGGCACGGTGGGGTGGTAAAGGCGCCAGTGCTTCTCTCCCTCCAGCTGCAGGATGAACACCTACAGAGAGCCACAGGGCTGCGAGTATCAGAGCTTCCAGACAACGTGTGAGGCAAAGTGCTTCCAGAATACCAGCCCTCTGAGGGCTTAGATGAATTACAAGTTTCAGATAAAAAATAAAAATGAAAGATCAGAGATACATTTCACTCCACACTTCAAAGCTGCCACTACTAGTGTTAAATTTAAAAAGAGGTAATCGTGAACCCTAATATTAGAAGGATAATCATTCTCTGCACTCTCATGAAACCTTGCTGAGTTCTCCATATCCCACTCCATATCCACTATCTCATTCCTTTAAATTTTCTATCGGCTGAAAGCCTGTCACTCTGATGGGAAAGCCAAGCCTCAGGTACGACTGAATGCCTAAAATCCTGAATATAATCTTTGACAGGTAGAAAAGCTTCAAGTTTTGTATTCTTCATTCAGCCAAAGACATTTTAATACTCTGTTAAAATATATTTTTAAAGAACCAAAAATTTTTAGAAAATGTATTGATATCAAATTGCTCTCAAAGGGGGGAAAATGACGTTTTACTAATTACTCTGTGTTCATACCTTGATTGGTACAAAAATAAAACTACCAAGTATCTAAGCCAAAAGTTAACTGTCCGTGGGTGGCCATAGGAGAGCGAACTCGACACTTGTCAAGGCACCAGTGCTTAAGAGAAACCATGATCTTCATTCAAGCTGCCCCAAGATTTTCACAAACGGAAAATAAAAAACTTGGCAGCTACAGAAAAAGGACAAAATGAAAGCAGATGTAAAGATTGCTTGTGACCTTACCTTATTAAAGACCATATGTGTCAAAGTTAAAGGAAAAGCCAATCATACTTTTCTGTAGATCAAATCAATAAATACCTGCCTTCATAGGAATGTGTAGCTCTTTATATTAACCGGGTTGGAAATGACCTCTCCCCTTGGAGAAGGAACAGGAAACCAGTTTGGTGAGAGCAAATTTGGCCCAACATCTAAGGGGGTCAAGAGCTCCAGAGGCCGCACAGGAAGAGAGGACAGAGACCTGGCCCAAGAGCGAACTGAACCCTGACAACCACCCTAACCTGGCTCACAGCAACACCCTCCTCCCCAACTCGAGCGACTTTCTTCCTCTTACCTCAACATCATCATAGTGGGGTGGCAGGCCCTGAGATCCAGCAGGGGTTATGTACACATTCGAGCCAACCAAGGAACCAAAGTAGCATTCAAGCTTCTCCTGGATCCTCCATAGGTCATCCTTTAAGAAAAAAAGGGGAGGAAAGGGGAGGGGAGGGGGAGGGCAGAGATAAGAGGAGAAAAGAAGGGAGGGGAGAGGAAAAAAAGAGAGGAGAAAAGAGGAAAAGTGAAAAAGACATTAGCAATGAGAGGGGGAACACATTCTTATTTGTTTACCAAGCCTTTACTGCAGCTATTAAGTTCTAGATACCAAGAATTAATGACCAGTAAAAGAGCCAACACCTCTGCCCACGGGAATCTCCTGTTCTGGTGCACACACATGGAAAGAGGGGAGCACACAAACGAGACTGGCGAGGCAGGCAGTCTGCAGCCACACAGGATTTAAACAGGGAACTGACATGATCTGACTGACATTTTTAAAAGCTCACTCTGGTTATCACTGGGGGAACGGACTGTTGAAAAGCAAGAGAAGTCAGTCGGGAAACTACTAAAGCAGAAGCCCTGGCAAGAAATGACCAAGGTGGTGGGATGGGAGAGGGAGAAGTAGAAAAGGCAAAGTTCTCTTTAAGCAGCGTGGATAAGACCTGCCGATGGACTAAATACAAAGGGGTAAGGGAACGGGAAAAGTAAAAAATACTCCTGGGTCTCTGACTTGGACAATCAGCTGGCTCCCAGTTGCACCCACTGACATGGGAAAGACTTGATAAAGAACAAGTTTGCAAAAGGGGGAAAAATGTTCTGCATTAGAAACATTGAGTTCGAGCTGCTATGACCCCCCATATGGAGATGTCTTTAAGTAAGCTGCTGGCTGGCTGTCTGAAGTTCTGGCAAAAAGTAAGGACTAAAGACTCACATGTGGGAATTCCCTGCACAAAATTAATATTTACAGCAATGGGTGAAGACATGAACCCAGAAGTGGGTACAGAGAGGGAAGGAGGAAAGGGGCCGCTGAGTACATTCCCTCTCCAATCACTAATCCACCCTTGGGGGTCGAAGTCAGGCTGAGAGGCCTCGAGAGGAGCCATCTATTCCTGCAAGAGAGAAAAGCCTGATTTTCCCAAAGCAGATGTGAAGAGGGGAGGTAGAAACTAGGCTGCATAAATATTATCAGCACTGCCTATGTGCAAGGCACTGTTCCTAATAACTTACATTTATTAATTACTTAACGTTCCCAACAACCCTGTCTCATAAGGTGCGTAATATCATTCTCTCCCGTTTACAGATGAGGAAACCAAGGCGAGAACACACAGCTAGTAAATAATGGAGCCAGGATTCAAATCCAGACTGCCTAGCTCCAGAGTCTGTGCCTTTAACCACAAGCCTCTAACACCGCTCTGAGGAATCACCACACAGACAAGTCAAAGGACACAGAGGAGCCTCGTTTCAAGCACATGAATGTACAGTGAGCAACACGTAGAAAACACTAAAACTTACAAAGTATTTACTAAGTAAACCAATGACCACAGCTTGGGAATCAGTCCCACACCTCTGAACTGAAAAGGGATCTACAGTATGAAAAATACCAAGTAAGGAAGAACTGGGTCAGTATGAAGAAAGCTTCAGGAAGCATCTTTATACAGACCACTGGGCTACTCCATCTGCAGGTCTCAGCACTCAAGGGTTCTACTTAACATAGGAAGAATAATTTAATAGCATCTGAACAGCTCCAAAGAGTCAGAGCTCCCAAGGAGTCTAGTTCACACCACGGAGGGGCCAGCAGGACCCTGCTCTGTAATTACACTTACAGAGACGACAACCACTGGAAGGCCAGGGTGCCTCCCTTCTCTGATGGCCTGGGAGGTGTCTTGGGACCAAATGGGTAACTTTATGGCTCTCAACTCAAGCATCTGGGTCTGTAATTGATGAGTTTATGTCTCTTTTCATCTTAAAAGTTACCAAAAACCCTATCAATTACACAATTTTCCCTCCTCTCCTGGGCCTCTAGCTTCTGAATCTGCCAAGTGTGGCCTACTATACAGAGAGTTGAGGTGAATCAATTTCAGTCCAAGTTATAGTTACAAGCTAGGTGACTTCAGCTTCTTTATTTGTAAAATGAAGACTCCCGACCTAAGACTGTGGGGAATAGCATGAAATAAATAACTTTTCTCCAATCATATTAAAATTACAAAGCAGTATATATGAGTAAATGTTACTGCTTCACCAGCACTGACTTAGCCACAACCAAGGTTCCTGAAATCTGTCTTCCCAATTATGTCTGAAGATGCCAAGGAGAACCCCAGAACGACGAGGGAAAGGTGGGAGGCCTCTCCCAGGTGGATATGACCTCCTCTCTCCACCAACTCACCCACACAGTCACAACTGAATGCCTGGCTGAGACCAGAAGCCTACACATACACCTACAGAAAGGCAAAAAACAAACATGACAAAAGCCCTACCTTTCGATTACCATCTTCCAAGGTATAGTAAGAAAATACCCTAAATCTGGAGTCAGAAGTTTTTACTTAGTGGCTATGAAAAGTCACACCTATCAACTCCAGGTTTTCACATGTAAAATGGACCCCACAACGACTTCTATATTTCAAGTGTCTGTCAGAAGGTTCAACATGCAGCCCAGGCTGGTGTGTTTCAGTGGATTGAGTGCCAGCCTGCAAACCAAAGGGTCACTGGTTTGATTCCCAGTCTAGGGAACATGCCTGAGTTGTGGGCCAAGTCCCGAGTAGGAGGCACTCGAGAGGCAACCACATACTGATACTTTTCTCCTTCTCTTTCTCCCTCCCTTCCCTTTCTAAAAATAAATAAAATCTTACAGAAAAAGTTAATACACATGTAAGTGCGTGGTAAACTCACCCAGATGTTTGATATATGGATTATACAAAGTAGATGGGGAACAAAGCAACTATCCCCCACCTACTTACAGCTTTCTGGTTGACTCATTTCCAGAATGAGGTGTGCACGTTCTAAGACCCAATAAACAAGGGGATGACCTGCCCTCTACACTTCTATCCTGATATTAATATGACCATTCTTAAACAAACACACACATCATTCAACTTCCTCATAAAATAATACTTAGAACCAGATTCTAGTGTAAGAGGATGAGCTCCTACAGCTTAGAAGTCTCTCAACTACTGGCATTGGAAAGACCAGAACACCATGCAGCGTCCTAGTCTAGCCTGGAGGCTGAGTTTAGACTTGGGAAGCTCGTCCTTCCTGTTTTAATAAACATGGCCAAAGAGCTGAGTCCACAGGACAAAAACAAAACAAAACAAAAACAAAAACATTCTTGGCCACCTGGAACTGGGAAGGAGGAATGTGCAAGGCTTAAGTAAATAAGCAGAGAAAAGCCCAAGATGATTCTAAAGCAGAGAAAAGGCAGCCACAGAGAACACCCCACGTGACAAATAACTTTCTACTAAATTGTAATCAAATTACATGTAATCAACTTCACTGATCTTTTATGTCCACAGTTTTTAGGTCTGTAAAACCCACTCTCTTAAAAGTGCTGCTTCAGCCCTTACTGGTGTGACTCAGTGGGGCGACCACTGTCCTGAGAACCGAAAGGTCGCCAGTTAGATTCCAGCCAGGGCCCATGCCTCGGCTGCAGGCCAGGTCCCCGGCTGGGGTGTGCAAGAGGCAACCAATGTTTCTCATACATCAATGTTTCTCTCCCTCTCTTTCTCCCTCCCTTCCCCTCTCCCTAAAAACAAATAAAATCTTTTTTTTAAAGTGCTACTTCAAAAATATAATAAAATTTTAAAAGTGCTGCTTCTACCCAGGTAAAGAGTCAAGAACTAACTCAGAGAAAAGCAACACTGAATTCAAATCATTACTTAGTTTGGCAAGTGATTTCTACATTCCTTTTGGGTGCTTGAGCCAGAAGCTTGGCATTTCAGGGACATTTTAACTTTGAATGATTGAGATGTAATATCGGGAATCAGAACTTGTACTGAAAAATCTAAGAGCACTTAAACTTTATCTAGAGTACACACAGGTTCAGGATCCTTTAGACAAGAAAGGGAATCATTCACCAAATTTGATTATGCACCAGATGGACATAATGGGATCTAACAAGCTGTCTCTTGGGTTCAGTCATGGGAAACATTACTGGTAACAGGTGACAAAGTCCCAGGAGCCACCAACACAGCTAGAACTACGCTCCTCCACACAGAACCTCCAGAACCCCTCTTCCTTCTCCTCCCATGCTGTCACTTTGATTCACCATGGGTCACAGAAGCAGACTTCTTAATGCGGAGAAAACTAAAACTTAGAACAGGCCACTGCTTGTTCCAGGCCACCTGTGACGTACAGACCTCAAACCTCTACAAAGGTATATAGGCTTATCCTGAGTCTGCATTTTATAAATGTCGAAACAGAGCACAGAGGAGGCGAATGACTTCTCAAATGTCAATCACTGATATAGAAAAATACAAAGTGCATCAGTCTTCCAGACTTGCAAATGAAAGCTCTCCTACGCCTACGACTGCCGCCCCAGGAGCAGCCTTGCAGGGCCCAGCTCCTCACTGCCACATGGGGGCGCTGCTGCTCATAGGGTGAAATCTATTTCTCGAACACGCATTTGGTATGTGCCTGGCCATGGCTCTGAAGCCTGTAAAGGGAGGCAACTACAAGAAAATGACCGCCTTCATTCTATCATGACTTAAATTATGGCAGGACAAACGCAACAGAAATGTCTACCACATACCAAAATGTAAACTAGTGCACAGAACATGCTCCTGGAGGCAGAACAGTACTTTAAGAAGCATTATAAACTAGCAATATAATTTAGTTTTTTCAACTCTATGACACCCAGCCATGTCCATCTTGAATGGTGGGTATTTTCTAACAATTCAGCCAAAAGATAACATCAAGTCTCCTAATTTGGGATGCATTTGAAGACGGAACAGGTGCTACCTCTTCTCAAGCTGGTAAGAAGCAAATCATCTTCAAACCACAAGTTCATCCCTGAGCTGAGCTGCGGCCAAATGTTAACACTTTAATACACACAAGGATTCTGCAATGGGGAACACCTGTTACCTTAAATCTCTGAGGTTGGTGAAACTGAATTGTTGCCCTTTTCTGATCAAAATCTTTTCTCAGCTGAAGAAAGTGCACTTTGCCATCTTTATTTAAAACCTTCTTCTTCCCATTGACACACCGGCAGACATTTATGTCTCTTCCATAGTACATACCCCGGCTGCACAGACTCTTCAGATCTGACAACTTGAAAAGGGATTGGTAATATGCGGCCAGCGCAGGGTCATCTCTCTGAACAAGAAGGGGCTTCTGTTCCCAGAATTCCTTGAAAAAAGTCTCTGTCTTGATGGGCGAAATTAAACTTTCAAACAAATCACTGGGGCTGTCAAAGTTTAAAAAGGAGGGCCCCCCAGCTGCCTCCACCTTCAGCTGTTTCCGAGGAACTGGCCCCTCTTCCTTCCCAGGCCCCATAGACTTTGCTTTCTTTGGCATCGTTCTGTCTTCAAGACCACGCCGTGAGGAAATGCAAACCTACCGAAAGAACAAAGAACACGTGTTGGCGTTAGCAGATCGTGCACACACAGCTGCGTGACCATGACGCCCTCAGGAGACTCTTTGTGAGTCAAGGCCTGGTCCTCTGGGATGCGATACAACCTTCCGCCAACACCATTTCTTCCAAAACATGATTCAGCCTCAAACGCCAGATTACACATTCATCTAAGGGAAAGCATGTTTTCCTTGTCCACTAAGTTGTGGGATTCATTCTTTGTTTATTAAGAAGTATAATTATCCCAATTTAAATGATTCAACTATCCCAGCAATTCCTAGTCACAGTTTTAGCCTGTGGCCATTGACACAGCAAGATCAAAAATCTTTCATTTGGCTTCAATCACCCCCAGGTCCCCAGTCTAACAAGATGTACTTTGAGTTACAAACACTTGACTCAAAGCTACTCACAGCTGCCCGCAGACAGGGGCTCCGCCACAGCAACCCTCCACCCCCATCTGCTGTCAGGCAGCTAACACGTCCTGGCCAGTGGTGTCACCTGGTGGCTGCAGCAAGAAGTTGCCAGCTCCCATGTCTTCTTCAACCAGGTGAACCTCCTCACTCCCCAAATCTCAGCTTATCCCTGAGAAGTGCCACTTTATCAGAATCTCCCCCACTTAAAATAAGAAAAAACTAACTAGAAGCTGAAAAGTGGAGGCTAAAGGTAGTTATATGCCACATCTGTAAAAAGCTGTAACTTTCAACATTAAATCCCGACATCAATAACCTCTTCCACAGCACTCCCCCATCTCGAACGTGCACGCACCTCGCTGGGCACCTGCAACTGCGGCGGACCGGCGGGGCTGAGATTCCGCGCGTCTAACTAGAGCACCCGGGCAGTGAGCTGCTGCCGGTGGGCAGGCCGACCGCACAGCACGGGAGGAAGAGCAGCGCTGCCTCCCAGGCACTGGCAACCCTCTCAGAACTGCCCCCACACCACAGCTACAGGCACACTTATGCAGGTGCCCTCCATCTGGTAATTCAAATTATATGAATTTCTGGAAACTACAAATTTCTATTTAAACTTTTTTTTTCCTAGGAGGGGCTGGCAGGGGCATCCATTGCTTTCATCAGATTCTTAGAGTCTCTGTCCCCAAAACAAGCTTTAAAAAATCTGCACTTCAGAAACCAGTAACTTATTTATAGATAGTATGGTTTCACAGTTGGTTGAGTTGTCAGAATTGCAAGAACACTGTTTCCTGCGCCTCTGTCATTACAACAAAGCTGTATTTGAGCTACAATGTGGATTAAGTAGTGTGGCCTGGGAATAAACCCTGGAACAATTTGTTAAATACTGCAACAACTAATTTATAAATAAACCTTTACAATGCAACCAAAATGTAAATTGAACAAATTGGGAAGTGGAAATGTCAAAATACAAAACTCTCTAGCGACCTCATTTTAGCTTCTAAAGTTTGCATCCACTGACAGCTCAGACCAAGTGCTTCTGGTGGGGAAACAGGATGATGGTTGGACACTAACAAAAACAGACACTAATCGCTTGCACTGGAGGGGTAAGGGTTTAAGCTTAGAAAAAAATTAACTTTAGTATTTTATGTTACATCATCCAACGTTTGCTTAAAATGTCTCCTATTTCTAAGTCTTCCAGGCCATTTTGATTTCTCAACCAAAGAATCAAGACTTCAGTGAGACGAAGTATTGCTAGTACTTGGAACTCAGGTATGAAAACGGATTAGCAAAGAGCAGTGTTGTTCTATGAAAGGCCAAGCTTATGGTTGACATCAGGGAATTCTAAATTCAGGAGTCCCCGCCTCCATGTAAATGGTAAGAGTGACTCACTGTGCCTCAACTGCTTGTGCAAACAATGTGGCTTATCCTGACCATCTGTTTTCCTTCTGGGAGTCTGGGATTTTGGTAGTTCCAGGCAGAGGGCACTTAGGTAACCAGCTTGCAGTTTTAAAAAAAAAGAAAGAAAATCCTGGGCTCCGAGTGTCTAATGAGCTTCCCTGTTTGGCAACTGTGTAGCTGTCACAACTAGTTGCTGGAACAATTAAGCACTTGGTCTCCTTTTGCTGTAATCAATCAGCTGGGAGTCTTAGCAAGTCACCGAACCCAGGAATGGTCTTGGGGAGCCCCAATACTTTGCTCACATTTTTAATTTTTAAAAACAGATTGTTTCAGAAGGTTTGTGTCATTGAAAGTACCCAAGGATGTCAAAGTAATTTCATATTCAGCCACACATCTCTTATTCCTCACAATCAGTCAGTTTAAAATTTAAGGGATGTGAGCAGCAGGAAGATACAAGTGAAAGGTTTTTCTGTAAGCACAATGTATGAACACAGTATATGCACATTTCCCAGAAAGTGTAGTTAAACAAAGTACGTGGAATACTTAAGCCAAAAATAAAATCACTTACAGCACTTTTTCCATCTATGATCACTAACAAATAAACCCTAACACTGCATAACAAATGCTTATGTTAGAATATAGATTCCACTACTTAAACTGCCAAAAGTGACATCACTTACCATCTCTCTATGTTCACATTGAAATGATTTGAGGTTCAGTTCATAGGAACCTAACTTAGAGGTTACTGAGGAAATATACTGTTTCTCTGATTCTTACACCCATTGTGTAAAATAACAGTTCTTTTTAACAGCCTTTGAGAAGTGGAGGGAAGAAGAAATGACATTCTATACCATGCAGAGCATTAAAAAAATTGTAAGAGGCATCACAATTTCAGAAACAGTAAAAAAGTATGTCTTAGAATCTAAGAAATATAATAACCAAGAGAATGCTTTGTCCAGAAAAGTACAGCCAAAACAAGTCTGCCTATAAATCTCACAGACCAAGCAAACAGAAGTGACAGTAGATATTTTTATAGAGTACAGGGGGAAAAAGCAAGCTTTTAAAAAGCAATTTATATAAATACTGGATTATTATGTTGTACCCTGAAACTAATATAATGTTCTATGTCAATTCTATTTCAATTAGAAAGAGTAAAAAAAGAAAAAAGCAATTGTCCAATTTGAGGTGACTATAATCATTAAAATGTAAAATGATTAAATCAAAAGATTCAAAGTTCATATATTACTAAGTACCCACAGATTTTTAAAAATAATAATAAACGAATCTAAACAACTCTAAAGGACTAAAACTCTAAGAAAATCAATATTGATACCTATTCTACAGTGTCCTAACCCTGCCTATGGGAACACGCACTGACAAGAAGTGCTAACACAACTTCGTAAGGGAAAGGACAGGTTATCTGCACACTCCCAGAACACTAGCAGAGAGATGGGCACATAGGAGGAGTCCGGGAGATGTTTGCTGGATTAATTCCCGCCCCCTTTTTTTCTTCCTTTGTATATAACCTTAGAGAAAAATCTCAAAAGCCTTACAGAAAACAAAGTTGAGGGAAACATGGTTTGTTCAGCAGGGACTATTCTTCTGACAGCAGCTGGCCCTTTGGTGTTCAGCAGCATTGTCACAGCTGAAAAGCACTTTAGCCCCCAGCGGTTATCACCCATCCGGGGAGGGAGGTGTGTCCGCATCATCTCCAGGGCTGCATTTCACAGCGCGGTGGAGTCACCAGGAACGCTGGTTAACGTGCACATTTCTGGGCTCTACATCAAGCCTACTGGATTAGCACTTCCGGTAGCTGGGGCCCACGAACCTGCATTAACATAGTATATTCTCTATATAAATTTTAGATCCACTAACAGTGAGAATGACAGTCAAACTCAACTCAATTAAACACACACACACACACCTCTACCTTACAGAAATGATGTATTGCCTGTAACAAGGTTGTTCAGGCCTTCCGAAATACCTTATCAATTCAGAGAGGGAAAACTGGTTCTCCTGTTGACCTAAAGCTGTGATTAGCAGTTATTTTTTTTTTTCAGTTCAATTTTAGAGGCGGGCGGCGGGGGGGGGGGGGGGGACGACGACTGCACCTCATTAATGTACTTTGGTGACCATAACATTACAAAGGATGAGGCCAGGGAGGCAAAGGAAAGGGATGGTGGTAGAAGCCGGGTGAACCAGGCTCCTCCACTTAAGGCCTGGAGTTGAATTTATAGCTAATTAGTGGAGTAACTCAATCTCATGACTCCCGAGACTATACTTCTGAAAACACAGTCAACAGCCTGGTCTGACTAACCTGTTGGACAACCCGACTGTCAGGCAGCCATTCGAGAAAAATCTAGTGACGAATGATTAGGAAGAGTATGAAGAGTATAGCCTACTCTGTACATTTCAAGTCAGGGTGGGACAGCGAGACGCCGCTGCCCTCGCCCCCCTCGCCCCCGACCCCAGATTTCCTCCGTGTGAAGCCTGTCGCTCAGGCCTGACCTGAACCCGGGGAGCAAAGCCCACGTGGCGGCCGCGCTCGCACACAGCCCAGCCGCGCCGCCGGCTCAGCCTCCAAACTTTCTGTGCGCTCGTCCCCGTCTCCAGACCGCGGGCCGAGCACGTGGGCTACTCCCGGTGCCCAGGCCACAGCCTGCCGACTCTCGGACCCAGGCGGCGTTAGGCTGGGCGTGCCCACGCTGTCCCCGCCCCGGAATCACACAGCTCTGCGGGCGGGCGTCCCCAGTCCCGCAAATACCCGCGCCCACCGTCCCAGGCCCGGCCAAGGGAAGCTCCGGCTGGAGCCCCGGGGAAGGGCCGAGAGGATCCCCTCATCTCCCCCACGCCAACACCCGCGCTCGCACTACGGGAGGCCGCGCAAGGCCCCACCAGTGGCAGCGCAAAGCACCAGGCCCTGCCCGCTCCACTCACCCGCCAGGCCTGTTGCGCGTGGCCGCGAGCCCCGGCAGCGCTGGCTGGGGGCGGGGCAGCGTGCACACGCTCCCGGGCGAAGCGCTAGGCTCTGGCTCCCCACCCACCTCCCCACCCACCGGCAGCTGGGTGGGTGCTGCATCACCCAAAGGCTGGTTGGTTGGTTGGTTGGTTGGTTGATTGGTTTTTGCTGTTAAAGGAAATAAACCAGTTGCGCCTTGGGGAGCGGGAGGCTGGAGAGTTGGGGACCAGATGAGGCTCTAGATTTGGGAATGTGTCCTAGAACAATACTGTTCCCTTAATGAATGGGGAAACTGAGGCCCGAAGAGAGGGAGCAAGTTCCCCAAGTTTAGGGAGCTGGTGATCCAGGTTCTCCCATGGCTTTCTTTGGGGCTCGGTATGCTACTCTCTGCTTTTTTACACTAAGTCAACTGTAATTTATACCACGGTGCTCCTGGAGAGAGAATTAATCCTGGTTTAAAAGGATACTGGAATTTTTGTTACTGTGGCTATAGAAGCAAAGAACAAAAGCAATTATTTAAGTAATTTATGCCTAAAGCTCTCTCCTTTGACACTAATTTGGGTGGAGAGGCTCAAGGCAGTGGGCAGGGGGAATCCCTGACACCTCTGCTTGAGCCTGTACCTTTCTTTGCTCTGTAGACAAGCAGAGGACCCAAAGGAAGTTATTTCATTCTGTGAAGATAATTGAGACCTAGGGCTGTTTCTTATGGTCCAGGGACACATGAGCAAAAGGGAACAAAGTATATGCCCTTGTCTAACGCTTGTCCCGAACTAACAGTAGCAAGCCTTGAATTGAGTTCTGTCTGTCAGGTACAATGCTAGCTGGGTGTGTCATAGACTCCTCACTTTCTCCTCACCACAGCCTTGTGATTTCTCCATTTCACAGTTGAGGAAACCAAGTCAGCAGAGGTTGTGTAACTAGCATAAGGTCGCACAGGCAGGAAGCAGCAGAAACAAGATCGGAGCAAAACCAGTCAACTGTTAGTCCTTTTGCACTATTATCTACCTCCCACTGTATACCCAGAAACTTCACATCAGACTCCAGTCAAGGAAATTTAGCCCTTTAAGAAAGACTGTGAAAAATAAATTAATAAAATAACCTCTAATGTACTTGACATAATATTGGTAATACACTTTGCTGTTTATTTTTACTTCAAAACATCTATTCAAGATAGCAGTAATGAGTTACATTGATTCAGAAAATGGTGAATTCTCACTCATGTTCTTCACATGGGAAAGTGGTACGTTGTGTCTGTCATAAAGAAAAGTTTCGCCTTGGCCAGGTGGCGGAGTTGGTTGGAGCATCCTTCCACGCACAGAAGGTTGTGGATTTGATCCCACTCAGGGTACACACCTAGGTTATGGGTTTGATCCTTGGTTAGGGTGCAAATAAAAAATAAATTAAAAAAGAAAGAAATGTACCCATATCAGCACACACACACACACACACAGACCATTTTCCAACATATAGGAAAAAAAAAGTCCTAGCATGTCTAACAGAACAAGAGTACTAACTAAAGTCAGCTCTTCAAGGAAAAGCCATACATTTTTATAGGCATCCCCTTGATGCAAAATTATTTCTTATTATATTTTATTGATTATGCTGTTATAGTTGTCCCAATTTTCCCCCTCTGCCCAGCTCCACCCAGCACACCCACTCCCTCAGGCAGTCACCCCACCATTGTCCATGTCCATGGGTCATGTCTGTAAGTTCTTTGGCTGCTCCATTTCCTATACTGTACTTTATGTCTCCATGGCTATTCTGTAACTACCTATTTGTACTTCTTAATCCTCTCACCTCCTCACCCATTCCCCCCACCCCCATCCCATCTGGCAACCATCAAAATGCTCTCTGTATCCATTATTCTGTCCCTTTTCTTGTTTGCTAACTTTGTTTTTTAGAATCAGTTGTTGACAGGTACGTATTTATTGCCACTTTGTTGTTCATAGTTTTTTTAGTATATTTTATTGACTATGCTATTAAAGTTGTCCCAATTTTTCCCCCTTTGTCCCCCTCCACCTGGTTGCCTCCTTCCCTCCAGCAACCCCCCCGCCTTAGTTCACATCCATGGGTTGTGCATTTAAGTTCTTTGGCTTCTCCATTTCCTATACTGTTCTTAACCTCCCCCTGTCTAACCTACCCAATGACGCTTCTAAATCCCTGCACCTTTTCCACCATTCTCCCTCTTCCTTCCCAGCTGAAACCCTCCAAATGATCTCCGTATCTATGATTCTATTCCTGTTCTAGTTGTTTGCTTAGTTTGGTTTTGGTTTTGGTTTTGGTTTTGGTTTTTAGATTCAGTTGTTGTTAGTTGTGAGTTTGTTGTCATTTTAATGTTCATAGTTTTGATCTTCTTTTTCCTAAATAAGTCCCTTTAACATTTCATATAATAAGGGCTTGGTGATGATAAACTTCTTTAGCTTTATCTTGTCTGGGAAGCACTTATCTATCCTTCAATTCTAAATGATAGCTTTGCTGGATAGAGTAGGTCCTTGCCTTTCATGACTTTGAATACGGTACTTCTTTCCAGCCCCCTTTTTCCTGTAAGGTTTCTGTTGAGAAATCAGCTGATAATCTTATGGGAACTCCTTTGTAGATAACTCTGACTTTCTCTTGCTGCTTTTAAGAATCTCTCCTTATCTTTAATCTTTGACATTTTAATTATGATGTGTCTTGGTGTGGATCTCTTTGGGTCCAACTTGTTTGGGAGTCTCAATGCTTCCTGGACTTATATATCTATTTCCTTTGCCAAATTAGGGAAGTTTTCTTTCATTTTCTCAAATAAGTTTTCAATTTCATGCTCTTCCTCTTCTCCTTCTGGCACCCCTATGATTCAGATATTGACCCTTTTAGAGATGCCCCAGGGTCTTCTAAAACTCTCCTCATTTTTGTGAATTCTTGGTTCTTCATTTTGTTCTGGTCGAATGTTTATTTCTTCCTTATGTTCCAAATCATTGATTTGAATCCCAGCTTCCTTCCCTTAACTTGTGGATTTTTCTTTATTTCCCTTACTAGAGCCTTCATTTCTTCCTTTATGCTTTTTGCTGTATTCAATGAGATCTTTGAGCATTCTGACCACCAGTGTTTTGAACTCTGCATCTGGTACTTTGGCTATCTCAGCATCGCTTAGTTCTTTATCTGGGGTTCTCTTCTGTCCCTTCATTTGGGCCATAGCTCTTTGTCTCTTGATTTTGGCAGCCTGCCTATGTCTGGGTACTAGGTAGAGCCCCTTTGATTCTGTTTTTGCATACCTGTTAAGTCATATGGGGTAGAGCCTGTGGTATTCGCCAGGGCAGGGCAACCGTGGCTGCGTGTGTGGGAGAGGGGTCGAAGAGGGGACAGTGCTGCTGCTGCCGCCTGACTTCTGGGGGCTTGCCTGGCCCTTACCCTCTTTCCAGTCATTTCACCCACTTCTTGTGTGCAAATGGCATCCCTTCAGCTGCTGCCCTGGTTGTGGTTCTCAGGACGAGCGGGGTTGTTTACATCCTGGGCTTTCCGACAGTGTCTTCCACTGCACCATCCCCCGCTGGGTTTATAGCCAGAAGCTATGAGGCTTTCTTTTTCCCCAGGCCGGAGCCCAGTAGTGTGCAGGCTGGCCTAGGGCTGGGCTTGCTCACTCCCAAGGTGTCTCCCTGATTTTTATCCACAACACGTGAATGTGGAGCTGCCCGTTCCACAGTCACCTCACTATTTCTCTGCTCCCCCCTGGTCGCTGCCACCGCATGGACTCACTCTGCCCTGACTCCCTGTCCCTGCCCCTCCTACCTGTTTGGATGAATATACCTCTTTAAATTCTTGGTTGTCCGACTTCCATACAGTTCTGGGTGATTTTCTGGCAGTTCGGGGTGTTTTTCATTTTTAAGCTACTTGTGTTCCTTCTTATGGTTGTGCAATGAGGCGAGACATGTCTACTTATACCTCCATTTAGACCGGAACTCCTGCTATTCATAGTTTTAATCTTCTTTGCTTAAATAAGTCCGTCTGTGGCTCTGCCTGCCTTTCTGCCTGGAAGAAAGCTGTCCCTGAGTTCTTGCCTTGATGCTGGCCACTTCAGTTCCTCCCTCTATGCCACTGGTGCCTTTCAAGCTGCTACCCCAGTGCTGGAGCTTAGAGGGAGTAAGTCTGAGTGAGTTTGTATGTGGGTTCCCCAAGAGGAACTGCTTAGGGCTCCAGCAGCCTCCTCCACTGACTCAGCCCCCACTGGTTTTTGCAGCCAAAAGTTATGGGGAATTATCTTTCTGGCACTAGTACCCTGCGCTGGTAGGCCTGGTGTGGGCCTGGGATTCCTTGCTCCCAAAATATCACTCCCAAATTTTTATCCACCACACATGTATGTGGGACCAGCCCATTCCCCATCTCTGCCGCTCCTACCAGTCTGGATGGATGTGGTTTCTTTAGTTCCATAGTTGTCAGACTTCCATTCAACTCAATTTCTGCCAATTCTGAGTGATGGTTGTTCTATAATTTAGTTGTAATTTTGATGTGGTTGTGCAAGGAGGTGAGCCGTGTTTACCTATGCCATCATATTGACCGGAAGTACCCCTTGATGCAAAATTAGTCTTTTAGTGTGTTTGTAACAGGGTGCTGAGCTGATGGTCCCCCCAAATAGAAAAGAACCCATAGCTATCACTTGAAGGATGAGGGAAGCGAAGCAGGGCCATTGAGAACTACTTTGCATATCTGAAAAACATGGCCAGTGTTTTGGTGACATTGAAAAGTGTGCCTGTGCTCTACGCCAGGGAGATGAGCATGGCTCCAATCCCTGATGCGTTGTAGCTGCAGGGGCTTCCTGTGCCTGTGAGAACAGCTTGGAGGCAGGTTCTGCATCACAGGAGCCACGCTTGCCCA